ACGCGGCAAGTTCATGGTTCACTGTGACGATTGACTTTGACCACCTCCATTGCTCCAGGGCTCCACTGCTCTAGACACACGCAAACACGTTGGCCACGGATCCAACGCCCGTTGATCGGTTCGACAGAATCCACCGGTCGAAATTCTCCGTCCACATGAGGTATCGGCGGTTTGTTGGTTTAGGCTTTTCTTGAGAGCCAAGACGCTTGCGGGCTCCACTGTGAAGCAATACATTGCGCGGCTTTGTGAGATCTTCACATCCTTCTGTAGTGAACGCAGCCTGTCACTTTCTGCCAGCAGACAGGTTTTCTCAGACGCCAACACAGATGGCCAGCCAGCAGATAGTGTCATCACATCGAAGAAGGGGAGACTTTGCTAATTGACATGCAGAAGATTTGGAAGTCTTGTTGTATTTCCGCCCTCCTCGTGCTTTCTCCTCCCAAAACGCCAAGCCTATGAATAAGAGGGCTCCGAATATGGTCCCGCCCAGGCGACTCCAGTAAACCCATCATTTCTTCATCCATGCCTCTCCTTCTGCCACTCCACTTGCTGTTGCCTGTCATCGACGAAGCATCTCATTGGTACGGATTCCTCTTTTTTTTGGTTTTGACATCATCTCTCTCCCCGTGCAATAGATCAACGACGTCCGCGACCACGGCCGGCACCAGGCATTCCGCCGCCCATGCCCGGCATGCCACCCATACCACCCATACCGCCCATGCCCATCTGCTGCATCATGGCCTGCATATCGGGCATGCCACCGCCGCCTCCGCCGCCGAGCATCTTCATGAGGCTGCCCATATCCGGCATCCCGCCCCCGCCCATACCTCCGGCGCCGCCCATGCTCTGCAACCGCTTCTGCATGGCCGCCATCTGCTGTGCCTTGTTGCCGCCGCCCATCTGCTGCTGCGCGCGCTGCATGTTCTTCATGTTACCGCCCATCTTCTTGGCCATGCCCGCCATCATCCGCTGCTGCGTCAGCAGGTCCTCAACTTCGCGCACCGAGGTTCCCGATCCGTGAGCGATTCTCGTCATCCGCGTCGGTTGCTCGATAAACATCTTGCCGTCCGAGTCAAGCTCCTTCTCCGTCATCGAGTCGCAGATATAAATCATGCGCTTCAGCTTGGCGCTGCCCTCCTCGTCGTCCATGCCTTGCATCATACCGCTCATGCCGGGAATCATGCCCGCCATCTTCGATAACGGACCCATCTTCATGATGTTGGAGAGCTGGTCCCGCAGGTCGCGTACGGTAAAGATACCTTCTGTGATGTGTTTTATCGTATCCTTCTGATCCAGCTTCAAACTTTGCACGTGCTCTACCAGTCCGGCCATATCGCCCATGCCCAGCAGCTTCTGTACGAATTGTTCTGGTGCGAAACGTTCAAAGTCGAGCATGTGCTCACCCGTACCGATAAAGACGATGGGGGTATGTGTTGCTGCGACGGCGGAAATGGCACCACCACCTGCTGCGTGGCCGTCCGTCTTGGTGATGATGATGGCTCCGAAGTCTGCCGACTCCTTGAACGCCTTGGCCTGCGACTCGGCCTGCTGACCGATGGATGCGTCGAGCACCATGATCGTCTCGTCAGGTCGGATTGCCGTTTGAATATCCACCATCTCCTGGAACAAAGCCTCCTCTTGTCTGTGTCGACCTGATGTATCCACGATGATAATCTCAAATTTCTCCTTCTTGAACTTTTCGACACCGTCTCTTGCTACCACAGCGGGGTCGGTCTCTGTCAATGAACCGTAGTATGGGATCTTCGCCTTGGTCGCATTCTGCTTCAGCTGATCAAAAGCACCGGCACGGAAGGTATCGGCGCACACCAGGCAGGCCTTGAAGCCTCTCGCCTGGTAGTGGCGTGCGAGCTTCGTACATGTCGTCGTTTTACCGGCACCCTGCAAACCAACAAACATGATGATGTTGGACTTTCCCTTCTTGGGCTTGAATGGTTCGGCATGGGGATCGACAAGCTTGACGAGTTCATCAAAAACGGACTTCTGGATGAGGCGCTTCTTGTTGACGGCGGGCGGAAGCTCCTTAAAGTTGACGGTACTCTTGATCGATTTTCGCAATTGGCCAACGAGGCGCACGTTGACGTCGGCTTCGAGAAGGGCGGAGCAAATCTCCTTGAGCATGCCATCGAAAGCCTGCGACACGGAAACGGATCTTGTTAGCAGCTGCTGTTGTCTCTCACGACGTCGTGTGGCGACTGCGACGGAGGGTTCTGCGGGGTAGGGATGCGGCGCACCTTTTCGTCAAGGTTGGGCTCTCTGGTGAGGTTTGTGACGGCCGTGTTGATGCGACGGCCGAGATCTTGGAGAACCATGGTGGGCGGTTTGCGGCTACCGAGCCGACTTGGGGTATCTCGAGGTTGGTTCTTTTGGTGATGCTCTCGGGTAACGGGAGGACGACGTGTTGCAAATGGGAATTTGGCTTCAGGGTGGGATGTGGATTGCTGCGCTAGCCATCCTGTGCCACCACGCCGGATTCCATGGATGTGACTGGTGAAAGTGAAGTGTGGGGTTGGTAACCTCGACCGCGGGACATCGGATGCACCGTTTCTCCAGACCTCAGGTATCTCCGTACACTGTGCTTTGCTTTCCACACACCGTTGATGTCTACACTGTAAAGCGATTCCCAACTATCAACACAAACGCATCAACGTGCAGCCATTCGCGAACCCGGATAGTTCTAGAGTCCTCCTAACTCAGTCACATCTCAAACAGCTTTTCCAAAATACTGGCCATTAAAGCCTCGGTGTCAACTACCCCGTCGTGCCCGTCTAGAGTCCTGCAAAGTTCAGTGGCTCGATTAGCATTATGGTACGCACCTTCGCAGCCTACAGCAAGATGATTGAAGGGCTCACAGTATTTATAATTTGTAATAAAAAGGCTCTCGAGTGGCTTTCAACCTTCGATCGTTTGGTGTACGCCACCCAACCTCAACCGCTCACCGTCTGCAGGTCTGAGGTTGCGCTGACCTTTGAGGTATCTAGTTCCAAACTGTAAGTGAGCCCAAGAAGGTATTCTGATATTTTTTCTTCAGCCCGGGCGAGCGACTTGCCTTCGTTCTTCAAGGACCAAGAGGTAGGCATGCATTCGCAATAAATTTGAATCCTTCGTATTGCAGAAAACTCGCCATCAACATGCAGCCACACAATTCCAAACTTGCAATTGTCACACATATGGCTTCGTACCATGTTGGAAGGTTCCACGTGAACGTTTTGCGGACCGAGATAGATATCTCTTCCGAGAATACCCGGCACATATAGTAAAAGCTCTGGCGCTCTCCCTGTAGGACTACGCACGCGAAGAGAAGTCATGAAACTTACTCTCCTCGACCTCAGTCAAAAAATTGTTGCACGGGATCATCTTCAAAATGGGAAACTACAAAGGTCCGGTGACCTCTTTCAAGAAGATCAGCAAACTCGTCATCACGGCCCTTCTTTCTAATGGAAATACCATCCAAGACTATCGTCTCATAAATACGGCCAATATCAACCGCATTGACCGCTTCCACAATGGGGCCAAGTTTCCCATAGGCATCGGCTCCAACCTAAGCAGCTCTCCTGATGACTACCAGACTGTCTTCAGCGGCTGGGAGGTGAACAGCGCCCTGAAGGGCCTCGCAAATGAGTACGGCGTTCAACTCACTCCAGCCCCCTTCGAAACCTATTGGAACCAAAAGTCCACCGTCGCCTTCCTCCCCGTTCCCGACGGCATCAGCCGCGTTGAGCGCAAGAACTATCGCGTTTACCTCACCGCCGGCGTCCAGGCCCGCGAGCGCGGCGGCCCAGACAGCCTCCTCTACTTCATCTCTGACCTCCTCTGGGCCGACAAGCACCAAGCATTGCTCGTTTATAACACAACCACCGTCTTTACCACAGCCCAAGTTCGCTTAGTACTTTCCATCGGCATCATTGTCTTCCCCCTCGTCAACCCAGACGGCAAACTCTGGGACGAGCGTTGGAACAACTGCTGGGGCGACAACATCAACCCGACCTCGAGCCCCTCGAAGAAGAGCATCGACGGCCTCGGTGTGAATATTGATCGCAACTTCAACTTCACCTGGGACTACCGCAAGATTTACAGCCAGCAGGCCCTCGATGTAGCATCTGACAAGCCCGGGCACGAGCTCTTCCACGGCACCGCACCCTTCTCCGAAGTCGAGTCGCGGAACATGGCCTGGGTTATTGATCAGTATCCGTCCATCAAGTGGTATCTCGACACTCACACAAAGAACCGCATCGTGAGCCACGCGTGGTCGGATACCCCGATCCAGACCACCAGCCCCGAGATGAACTTCCGCAACCAGAGCTATGACGGGAAGCGCGGCGACATGGCCACGAAGTATGGCGAGTACATGATACCCAAAGACCACGATATCTACAAGGATATCTCGAACAACATGGCCGAGCAGATGTCACATGTTTCCGGCGAGCCTTTCTACAGTATTGATAAGCTCCGCAAGAAAGGACGGATGTTCCAAGGCTCTTCTGGGACTGCTGTCGACTGGGCGTATAGCAGACACGTTGTGAGCGAGGCGGCCACCAAGATTATGAGCTTCAAGGTCAAGTTTGGAGCAACGGAGGAGGAGGCGGCTGAGATTGGGCAGAAGGGCGGGTGCCAGTACTACCCGTCGCGCAAGATTTATAAAAGGAGTATCACGGAGAGTGCTGTGGGATACATGACCTTCCTCCTCAACGTTGCCAAATATGAAAAGATGAAGGATCCGTGGCCTTAGAGGCCGAACAATACTGTCCAGGTCATGTGGGGCACGGGCATCAAATATCCATCACCCTCACTTTATCTCGTGGCTTCTGGGTGATTGTTTTGTCAATCCTAGTACCTCTATGTAGTTCTTCATGTCATTCAAGTCATCTCTCATGCTCTAGCTATGCCTAACTATAGCCGTGCAAGCCGTGTGATATTCACGACGCCGTTCCCTCCTGATATGAAGGTGCCAGTCCAGTGACTGATGGTTTCGGGCCATGGTATCATTGACCTGTCTTCTTGGGCAAGAACCGGGCTTTTACCCCAGTAAGCATCGCCATGAAGTAATACTGAATCTCATCTTCCGGAGGTATTTGAACCTTCACATCGAAGTGCTCCAGCAGCGCGGGTATCGTCTTGTAAACGACCAGCTCCGCAAGGTGTCGCCCGGGACACATCCTTCCGCCCCCGCCCCAAGTAAGATTAAACCGTTCCATACCCTTGAGGTCCCTCTCTGTGTCTAGCCAGCGGTCCGGATGATATTCTTCCGCGTCGGGGCCAAATATCAGAGGGTTTCTATGTAATGACACAGGGTTGCAGCCAACAGTAGTCCCGGGCGGAAAGGTCTCTCCATGGACTGCAAGTCCTTCAGAGGGCACCGTGCGGGGCAGGGACATCCCGAGGACAGGATACAAACGTTGTGCCTCCTTGATGGCTGCTTGCGTATAATCCAGACGAATGGCGTTATCATAAACCTTTGGATCCTCCGTCGCGGAGCAAACTTCCTCGGATATCCGCCGTTGCACTTCAGGGTGTGATCCGATCATGGACATGATGGACGTCAGCGCGGAACACATAGTCTCATGCCCGGCCCCGAAATTAGTAATTGCCATTCGACGGAGATACTGCTCCGTGAACTCGGGCTTGTCCTTGTGCAGCTGGATCAGATCCACGAGGAAGTCTTCTTTACGATCATTCTTCGAGACAGGCTTGTTCGCTAGGGACGAGGTGACCCTCCGCGAGACCTGCCGGTAGACGCCAGTGAAGAAGGGCTTAAAGTTTTTGGGCGTCTTGTACGTCACGCGCCAGAGATTAGCAAAAGTTCTCCCAAATGCTTTGGAAAACAGCTCCGCTTTCACGGCGAAAGGGAAGAGCCCAAAGACGGACTTGCGGCGCCAGCCGAGGTAGCCGTGGGTGCTTGATGAGTGGTCTGTGTGATCGCGGAGGTAGTTTGGTGACCAGGTGAGGACGGCAGCTGATAGGGACTCGACTGCGATGATGTGCATCCATTCCTTGAGGTCGACTTCGGCGCCGTTGAGAGAGCGTAGAGTTGCGATGACGCGGGCTAGTACTGCGTCGAGAGCTGGCTCGTGCCGTTTAAGGTATGCTGTTTGGTAGAGAGGTCCGATGAGACGCCGTTGTAAGCGGTATCGTTGCGTGTTGCGTTCGGATAGTAAGTCTAGTGTATCTGGAGACGCAAAGTTCGGAAAGGGTGTGAAAGTGATGTCTGGCCTTTGAAGGGCAGTCGATACTAGAGACTTGGTGTGAGCTGGGAGTGAATTGAGGTGAGGATCGTCATGACTATTCACATACAATAGAAATCGGACTTTTCATAGCCGCTGCCGGCTCCTGTGAACGAATAAGCACAAGATCAGACTTTCTTCATGAGTTCCATTAAGCATACGATAGATGTGCTTGAACGCATCTACAGAGTCAAACCACACCTCATTCGGCCCAACTCTCACAACCGGCCCGTACCGCTTATGAAGCGTCTTGCCCAGCGCAAGCATACGTCCATTGCGAACATGGTAGGCGTGCCACACATTCGAAATGGCAGCAAGCCTGGGCCCAGGTACACGAGCCAAAGGGTGAAGAAGCAGACGGTATCCAATGATGATGAAACCGATGAGAATGAATGACGATGACGTGAGTACCACTGCGTTACGGAGAAACAATACTACGCCGTAGACAACGCCGAGCAACGGGCCATGTATTCCGAGCGCCGGAGAAGGCATCGCCACGCCCGGCGCTTCGGACGGGAGCGGGCGATAGGGGATGGACAGGGGGTGATGTAAAGTAGGATTGAGTGAGGTCCGGCTCATGTGGGTGAATATGTGAGTGAGGCAGGGTGCGCGTGATGTGGCGGTTGAGGCTTCGCAGCAGCGGCGCACGCCGCACAGGAGAAAAAAAATTCGCGGGGGGCGCTGAGCTGCGGCGCGCACAAGCCATTCGGACCGGCCCCACTGTCCGGAACGGGGAATCGAATAGGGGGCTGAGCCAATTGGCTTTCGGGGCATCGTTGCTGGGCTACCCTTGCATTCTTTACACTTATGCCTACTCCGTACTAGGTACCTTAGCCTCTATTGTGCATCCGCAGTAATACCAGCGTACTATGGCATCCTTACCTCAGCTGTGAAGTCAATGGCAAGGCAAGGCGGCAAAGAGCCCCGCTAGAGGCTAGATTTCTTGATTTCTTTGAAGGAGACCTGGGAAGCTTACGCTTGTGCGGCTAGGATCACATAGGGCTCTTATGCGCTGTCTCAGGGGTGGACACCGCTGTTTCGCTGCTGGGGAAGCTCCCATGGGCCATAGCTCGCTCGATGGACCGTCTGTAGATTGCCTCCGGCTTTGGATGCCGAACTTTCACGCTACAGAGGCCGTGATGGACACCAAGTGTTGGCTATGATGTTTTCCCTCTGAATGTCGTGGTTTGACTCTGCTGTTGCTATTCTTATCGTTTGTTGCGTAAGTGTGCTCAGCAAGTGAAGTCTAAGCACTGCCAGTCTGAAGTCGTCGTATGTCCGGGGAGATAGGGGATTCAACAGACCATGGACGATCAAGTTACTGACTTACTCAAGCTGGCGGCTACAAGGCGGGTGACACTTCCGATGACAGCTCTCTTTCTCGGTTTATCCTGGATCGACCAAGGTTACCGTTGCAGTGAGATTCGCTCTCAGACCTCGTTCGTCCGTCTAGAATTGATCATCGATCTGTTGTGCCACGTCAACTCGCCTCCAGTACCAGAGTACTCCCGAGACCCTGGGAGAGTTCAAAATAGCTTTACTCTTAGGGTCCCGTCATTTTAGAATGTTTCGAAAGTTTAGCCGAATTATAAAACGGATCATGTTATCTCTCAGTGTCATCACGCCTTTGATCCTAGTTTGTAGGATTGGTGGAAGAACACTTCTTATGTATGATCGTGTTCGAGTTGTTTTTCTGTAGAAAATGAAAAGAAATTGTCAAGCGGAAGACAGCTTCCGTGAAATGTTACACTCTTAGCAATGAAGAAGTAATTCTGTGGAACGTCCTGAAGATCATTAGATTTACATGTGTGAATAGTCGACGCCGTTGTCGGACATTAACTTGGGCACGCAGAGTCTAGGTTGAAACGGCAAATCCCGCTACGGCGGAACAATAAGCTGAAAATCATCATCTAAAGAAAACCCGCAAACGGGGTAATTATTGGATGGAGAAACTTTAGTTGTCGATCTGAACATGGCTTCATATTCTCCGTAATGGTGTCATGCTCCAGAGACTGCCGTCAATTATGCTTCACCTGCATGAGGCTAAAGCTCTACACACTTATCACCAAGGTACCACCACCAATGATTGGCGTAAAAGGGCGGATTCTTGCAACAGCTCCGACCCATGTCTCGTCAACTCGATCCCACATCTCGGTTGATCGACGCTTCTTGGTGAGCTTGAATCAAATTGATTGTGGTGTACGTCGCCCTGTTCGAGTAAATCGAGCTAACGGTTTCATCAACTCTGCAACTCCACTGAAGCATCTTACTACAACTGGATACAATGACTGGAGCACGTCAATCCCAATTGGGATGAGCCATTCGAAAACCAGCTCAACTTTGTGACGAACATGTTCTTTTTCCAAGAATAGATGCACGCAACATACGTACGGATGGCTGAGAGCATCAGGTCCCAAGGTACGTACGCAAACCTAAAGCTGGACGACTGGCTGGTAGAGAGCTGAAAGTCCACGTCATCATGGGCGAGCTCCATTGTAAGGGGGCATAGGGAAGGGGCGATGGCATCTTCCGTTACTGTCGATTCTTTTTACCCGTCTGTCTCACTCCCTTTGATCTCGCTTTGAGTCACAAACACGCAGATGCTAGTCTTTTCTTCCAGCCTCAAGGGCCTGGTGCATGACAACTCCGAAACTCCCTTTTGGGCAACTTCGGCCATCATCGTCCGATGTTTGTATAATATGCAAGCAATTTGGAGGATAAAGTCGGCCAAAAAGCGTCAATTGGTGTCGACGCAAGCAATTCCGTCGCCACATTCCTCAAAGCGGTCGACTAATCCGCCCCCTGGCCCCGGGCCACCGGCGCAGCCCTTCGGGGCGCTACCCGGGATCCTAATTCGGGAAGTGGGCGGGCTTGCGTGTCCCAACCCCAAGGGCTGTCTCGGGAGAGCCTTTTTGGCCTGTTTGGCGGCTTTGGCCCTGCATAGGATTAGGGGGCCAGAACAACTTGTCAGTGACAGGCGTTAACAGCGTCGAAACCAGACGTTTCGAAACAAACGGTCTCTCAAGTCCAATCGTTCCAAACTTTCAGACGCACTAGACCCGACGAACACCTCCTGTAGTCCCCCGTTGCTGGATACCCAAAGTCCCCAAAGTGGCTTACTGCTGTGTTAACCCTGGTGTCCCTTGTCGGGGCTTCATGGAGCCATCTCACTCAACTTGACACCGCCCTACCGGGACTGGGCCAACGATGAACGAAGACGGAAAGCCGCGCAAGCAGACATGCCACAGCATACTATGTTCAGTCAGGCACTGGACCAGCTCCCCACAGGGACAATGGGGCTTTTCTCCGTGCTTTCTCGAGAGTCGATCATAGCGTCACGGAATATTCCCTGATGAGCCCAGCCCGCGATGGAGCCACTGGGGGATCGAATTGCGGAGCTGAGCCGCGTTGTCGTCAACTCGTCGACTCGAAGACGTGCTGAGCATGTCACTTGGGTGTAAGTCGAGCAACTCGAGCTGAACCATCCCGTCATCGGTCTTCAATATAGTATCGAAAGAAGATATAAACGCAATGGATATCCGACAAATCCAGACTCTATTTTTCCCTTCTCATCACCACACTCATCTCATCTTATCTCTTCTGCATCTTCTTTCTTTTCCTCAACAACCTCACTTGTTCTACCGCAAACCCCCTTCTTTCTTTTTTACCTCGACTTCCTCCTTTTTTTTCGAACAACTTCACTTCATTCATTCGCCAGGATGCGTTCCAACCTCATTTTCGCTCTTGTTACCGCCATCGCGGCCATCAGCTCAGCGGCGCCGGCGCCCCAGGCTTCTGGTGCGCCCCCGTCCGGCACTGGGCTGGCTCACCCGCCCCACGGCAGTGGAGCTCCCCCGAGCGGCACTCCTCCCCCGCGCCCCTCCGGCACCGGTGTGCCCCCCAGCGGTGCCCCACCTTCCGGCACTCCCCCGGCTCAGCAGCAGCGCCGTTTCCGCGGCATGAACCGTCGCCAGAACTCCGCCCACCCCTCTGGATCCCCGCCTTCCGGCGCTCCCCCGAGCGGCACTCCCCCTCCTCGCCCCAGCGGCGTCGCCCAGCCCAGCGGTGGCGGTCACGGCGGCTTCGGTGCTCAGGAGGCCGGCGCTCAGCCTACTGGCGCTCCCCCGTCCGGTGCACCTCCCTCCGGCGTTCGCCCGAGCGGTCCTCCTCCCTCTGGAGCTCCTCCTTCTGGTGCTCCCCCCAGCGGTGCGCCTGCTCCCACTGGCAACGCCAAGCGTGCTGGGCCCTCCGGTGCTAAGCCGTCTGGACCTCCTCCTTCTGGTGTTCGCCCCAGCGGTCCTCCCCCGAGCGGCGCACCCCCCTCAGGTGTTCCTCCTTCGGGACCTCCTCCCAGCGGTGCCCCTGCTCCTACTGGCAACGCTCGCCGCGCCGAGTCTGCTCCTGCAGGCCCCAAGCCCACTGGCCCTCCCCCATCTGGAGTGAAGCCTTCCGGTCCTCCTCCTTCCGGCGCTCCTCCTTCGGGTGCCCCGCCTTCTGGAGCTCCCCTCTCTGGAGCTCCCGCTCCCACTGGCAATGCTCGCCGTGCTGAGTCTGCTCCCCCGGCCAAGCCTTCTGGCGAATCTGGACCCCCCCCTTCGGGAGTTCGCCCCAGCGGCCCTCCTCCCTCAGGTGCTCCTCCTTCTGGTGCTCCTCCCAGCGGCGCTCCCAAGCCCACCAACGCCAAGCGCGCCGACGAGTCTGCTCCCGCCGGCCCTAAGCCTACCGGCCCCCCGCCTTCTGGAGTGAAGCCTTCCGGCCCCCCTCCTTCCGGTGCTCCTTCCGGCGCTCCTCCCTCTGGTGCCCCTCCCTCTGGTGCTCCCGCTCCTACCGGCAATGCTCGCCGCGCTGAGGACGCCGCTCCCACCGGCACCAAGCCCACTGGTGCTCCTCCTTCCGGTGCTCCCCCCTCTGGCGCTCCTTCAGGAACTCCTCCTCCCAAGCCTTCCGGTGCTCAGGCCGAGGGTGCTGCTCCTTCCGGCACTCCTCCCCCTAAGCCCACTGGCACTCCCACCGGCCCCCCTCCCTCCGGCGCACCCTCCGCTCCCGCTCAGAAGCGTGCCGAGTCCGCTCCTCCTTCCAAGCCTTCCGGCACTCCTCCCTCCGGCACTCCTCCCTCTGGCACGCCCCCTCCTCGCCCCAGCGGTGCTCAGGCTGAGGGCGTCGCTCCCAGCGGAACTCCTCCCCCCAAGCCTACCGGTACTCCCACCGGCCCTCCTCCCTCTGGAGCTCCTCCCGCTCCCAACCAGAGCGCTTAAATCAGTACTCTCTGAGAAGAGCCACGACAACAATCGACGAGATTTGAAGCCATCGGTCCAGCCCACACAGCAGCAGCGAATTTGATACCAACTTGAGTTTGGGTTTGTCTTACCAGGAGACGTTGGGCCATGACTGTCAAATACTGAGAACAGAGAAAGAGAAGACGAAAAGGTGGATATTGACACGAGACATGGGACAGTTGACGATGATGGCGGTGATCACTTGGCTAGTCATTTTTGCTATGTAGATATTGGTTGAGATTTTTGTGGGCATTGTATCATAGCATTTCTTTGAGAAAACCTGAGAATAACAGCGCTGTTACTCGAAATCGCTTCCAGCCTTCTGGCTTTCTTGCAATGGTGATTGTGACTGAGTTGTAGTTGTTTGTGGACGCACTTTCAAACTGTTGCCTGATGGTTCCCGATTCTGCCATACACGTGGTTGGCAATCTAAGGTTACGGCGAGAACATACAGTCTCGGCTCTAGTTAAGGAAGAGGAAAAGTAGGTGGTATTGCCAGCGGTTGAACTAATGCATGCAGTCATCAAGGGACCCCAGAACATCAAACTCTTTTCGTCTTGTATGATTGGTAGAACGATACGAATAACTGATTAACAGGGGACCAACCTGTCAGCCTACATGCATATGCCAGGGGTAACAATCCATCTTGCATGGCATCATTAGATCCTTCGACTCCTCCTGCATCTTGGCTGGCGGCTGTCGCACTTCAGCTCGGAACACGATAAAAAGCGGACGACTCGATGTGCCAGGCAGCAGGCTTAGCCAAAACTCAAAAAACTTTAAGATGGACAAGATCCTCGCAAGATGCGCTAGGGTAGGTATTCCTTCGCGCTGTGGGCTCAACATCTTAATGATCCCTTCATGAACAGCCTTTCATGACCCTAGCCCCCAATAACGAGTAGCCCTGACTCGGACGATCGCGAAGTTCAACAACGACAATGATTTCTCAGGCTCCCCAGTCAGCGGATGGCCCGCAAAGGTATGACATAGTCCGTCAAGACGAGGCAATGCATCGAATCCCCCACAAAACCATGCCCAAGGTCGTGGAATCTCAGCTCGGCGGTCACGACATATTACCATCTAGAGAGAACACCCTAGACAGTGTGGGGGAATCTCCCACGTACTCGACTCTCAGATGGTGGTACTTGGAGATAGGATGTTGCTTCCTCGCCATTGCAAGTCTCGTGGCCCAAGCCATCGTCCTCTGGCAGTACGACGGCAAACCGCAAGATGCATGGCCAAGCACGACTCTGACCCTCAACGGTCTGATCGCGATTTTAGCCACCGTCTGCCGCGCGACCTTCATGATCGCTGTGGGTGCCATTCTCAGCCAGGCAAAATGGAATCATTTCTCTGGAAGAGGGAAGAAAAGTGGATACCAAAGACTGGATGACTTTACCTTGATCGACGACGCCTCGAGAGGTTCATGGGGAAGTTTGCAGTTGATGTGGAGGTTCAAGGGAGCGTAAGTCTTTAGTTGTAATACCTCGAAACCGGCCGATGCTAACCGAGACCTTAGACACATTGCTTGCGTCGGAGCCGTGTTGACGATGTTGTCACTTGCTTTGGGCTTCTTCTCTCAGCAACTGATTACCTTGCGGATAGACCAGATTGAAAGCAATGCGCAAGGCCAAGCGGGAACCGTAGCCAGAAGTCAGTGGGCAAGCGCCGTATCAGGAACCGCAAACTCTTGTAAGTCGCTATAAAATATTACCTGAGATACGCCTCTGCTATTCTTCACATGGTTCTAACGTCTTCTGTCTTCTAAGGGAGTCCCCTATCACCGACAAAACTAGCCATGTACAACGGATTCATGTCTACAGAAGTCAGCTTGCCGCAAGTCACCTGCCCAACTGGGAACTGCACTTGGCCTATCGTTCCAACCGTTGGGGTCTGCGGCTCATGTGTCGACCTCACATCCGAGATCAAAATCAACCGAAGCTCCTCCGCATATTGCATTGTGACTGCGCCGGATGGTGCACAGCTTCGAGGATACTGCGGCTCAGGATCTGATTTCATGCCCGTATTCAACATCAGCACTGGCTCGAACCGTACTTTTGAATCTACGGATCCTCGAATGATCAAGGTGGACGCGCCCAACCTGATTGCTCAATTCAGCGGTCTGGGTATTCCCGGCGGGATGCCAGCGACTACCCCTCTTGACGACTCCCGTGCGGCTGAATGTGCTCTGTGGTATTGCCTCCAGGCAAGGAACATCAGTGTCGAGTCAGGAAAGTTGAAGGACGAGATCGTCGATACCTGGAGTGAGGTATCCGGAGTTTCGACTCCCGATGGGAGAAATGTCACATTCGCCAATATCCCGGCCAACTTCAACGCCGAAGCTGGCAAAAGCTACGGGATGGGTCCATTTCAGATGTACGCCATGCAAGGGTACGCAAAGACAAACATCATAGGAAACGTCAGCGCCGATGGAACTTTGGGGATCGTGTTCACATCAGCGTCGCCCTTTGCAGACGGAATGCACGCCAGTTTCGGGGATGTTGGCAGCTGGATGGAGAGACTTACGAGAAGCTTGACCAACGACGTGCGCCTAAATAGCAACGACACCACAAGCGACGATGCCTTCAGAGGTACCGTAATGACCAGCCAGGTAGTCATTGTCGTGCGTTGGGGTTGGATCGTATACTCTGTTGCCTTGGTCGCTGTGTCGACGATTTATCTTGTAGCTGAGGTTGTGCGAACGGACAGGAAAGGACTGCTGCCCTGGAAATCTGATGTTCTCTTGCCAGTGTGCATGGACATGGATGATGGGATCAGGGAGAAAGCAGCGGGGGGCATCATTGAGCCGGGCGGCCTAAAGAGATTGGTCGGGGATGTTCCGGTTCAGCTGAGGGCTGACAGGACCGGCGTTATTAGGTTCGCACAAGAGGTCAAGACCGATGTAACAAATTCGCCTTGAGGAAATGCGAAGGAATTGTTTGCTAGGAAGATCTGATTTTGTTCTCAGGCCCGGTCTGAGAACACGATTAATGCATGTTTTGTTGAGGCAGTGCGATGATAATGAGGAATCATGATGGAATATTGGATGGAAGCCCCTATGAAAAGATGAGTTTACCATGAACCAGCCAGCCGTACAAGAAGCTCATCACTGCTGTTTACTTTCCAGGCGGGGTTTCCGCCTTGGCATCCAGAACGTGCGATTCGTTCGCGCTGACCTTGCTATGCATGAGCATGACTGCATCCTTGTCGCAGAACTCGATGACCTTCGTGACCTTCGAGCCGTCCTCATTGAAGTCAAAGAACCAACTAAATTCCAATTGTAGGCTCTCTGAGCCGTCTTTAAATACGATGTCCGAAGTGGACGTGAGTGCAGCCTTTCGGGCTTCTGAGTCGATGACGAGGTTCGAAACGGTGGTGGACTCAGATGTGAAGGCGGCGATGTCCTTGGCGAACTGTGCTTCGTATGTCGCGGTGTCGAGGGCGAACTCGGCCGGTAAGCCAAAGGCTTTGGTCATGGAACGAGGGAAGAGGTGGCGGGTGCAGTCTGGGGTGACCACGCGGTTGATGATTGAGGGGTCATTCTGTTTTGCGCCGTCTGTGTATGCGTCGAAGAAGGACTTCATTGTCGCCTCGACTTTTTGTCTGAAGGCCATATTTGTGGAATGAGTACAATGATGTGCGTTAAATTGAGGGTGGAAAGTGAAGAAGAGTCAAAAGTAAGGGCCTCCAACTGTTACTGTGACCGATGTGCTGACATTTTTATATATGCCTTTTTTCCAGGTGTTTCAATGATCTCACAGGATTCAGACTTCTTTCATCTCACGTCAGACTATTAGTTCCAATATCGGCAGTCCACGTACCCCGCGAAGTAGTGATTAGCGTCTTGACTATTACGCCTGTTTCTGCATTGGGCATGGATCACTCGGCACCGCGTTCGAGAAATGGATCTTTGGTCAACGCCAAGGGGAATATCAATACTGGGTGGGATTGTTGATCGGTTATCATCAGAACGCCTACAATGACTGTGCACAGAGAATTCAGGCATATTTGTCAATGGACATGTAGTTCGACACTTGTAGAATAGGAAATTCGCCAGGACTGCTCGTTGTCCCTCTGAAGCCGACTATTCGTCAGTCAGTGAGACACGGACCACGGTGCATCACGTACTGCCAGGATGGATTATCATGCTGAGCAAGGAGATTTTCCAGGTACATGACGCGGTGACGTGGCATATCTGACCAAAGAACCTCGGTAGCCTTGGGTGTCTTCAGCATCACGTCACTCCAATCGCCGATGATTTGATGCTGAATATCAAGTTCGATGAGCTCTTGATAAGAAGATAGTCAATTATGGGTATCTCCCTAGTAGTCGCTGGCCTACGTGAAGGTTAGGACAATGTACAGTACAAGAGCGTTGTGGGAACTTTACCAAGCTTCAGGGTGAGAGATTGCAGCCCGTGTGTCGTTTGGTACAACTGCAGGTTCCATAACTTCCTTCTGGAACTTGATTAGAATATTGGCGTGCTGTTCTCCGGCTTTACTAACTTTGAGAACCAACCTATATGGAACTCCTACGTCTAACGGATTTCACGAGTATATATAAACTGCGAGATACAATACTGCAGGGTGGTAACAGCGTTATGGCCCAGGCCCATGCCGAGTTCAATCTCATTACGGGTGTCAATATTCTGTACACTTAGGTCTTCACACAAAGCCCTAGGTGCGCCATGATGAACGATGTCAATGGTAGTGGTACACGTTCAGGTCAAATCTCTCGGATATGGCGATTTCTTGGAAACATTTACATAGTTGGATGATTCTTTGCTAGAATATGCAGTAGCTGTTGCCGCACGGAAGCCATGCAGGCAGTGTCGCAAGTGAAATTCCACTACATAGAATATTGGAAGTTGTTCTCGATTTGGTAGAATGATCACCAATGTGATGGGTTTGGAAAGGGAGATATTCGGTTATCCCCACAAGATAGCGTCGGACATCGGCCAAGCCCGGTCGTCTGTCTCTCGGAAGGGAACCGAGCTTCACTCATTTCGGCTTCTCTGCCCTTGGTTTGTCCCATCTATAAAGAGCACACCCCGCGTCGCAAGCAACCAAGGAATCCCAGGTCGAGTGTTTTTAGAGCACAAGACTTCTTGTTTGAAACCCCTTCCAGCCTATTGGCTGGTGCGTCTTATCAGCGATGTTCGGAGCTGGAACCCGATGGTGGGTCCTGGCTAAAGGCGGATCGGATGGCTGCCGAAGGGCGAGTGTTGTGATTAAGACAGTCTTGCCGCCTCTGTGCCATGTTACGCCGGCAGACCTTTCTTTCTGACAAGCAAATTGTCACAAACATCATTTTCAGTTTACTGTTTCTTTAGGAACTACACAAGCAATACAGCACTACGTTGAACATTCTTTGAAAGATTGTCGCATCATTATCCAGCCCACAATCTCATACTCTTTTGCTGCATCAAGTGGCGTACATACATGACTTGCAGTAACCGGGTTATCACATCGCATAGTAAGATGTCGAGTAGCAGCTATAGGGGCTCGTTATCGCCGACCCCAGACCCCTCATCCAAGGTAAGTTCGGCTCTTATCAGCCCCACACTCTGAATTGCCGCAGCGACCTCCATCACATGAAGACTTTGCAAACTTACCGGTGAACGGAACGGGCAGCAGTCTCACAAGGTGTCAGAAGCCTCTTCTTCCAGCCGGAAGAGGAAAAGACGCATCAAAGACGAGGTCGAGGAAGAAGGCGTGATGCCTCAGCAAGCTGCCGCCAAAGCACGGTCCGCGAACGCGTCAGTCACCACCACCCTCAATTCGCCCGCCCTTCATTCACCCCACCAAACTCCACCGCTGTGACGTGTTTGCCATTGGGGGCGTTGTGCCATGCTGACTGTCGAATTAGATGCAACACATGCCGGAGACGCAAGGTGAAGTGTTCAGGAGAGCAGCCTTGTAGAAATTGTGCACGAAACAACCTAGACTGCGAATTTGGTGACGGGAGAAAGAGATACTCAGAGGCGTGAGTCTACTCCGAGGTCGGACTTCTCCAACTTGCTAAGCTGGTAGACCAGATACGTCTCAGAATTGAGAGCCACATTGACCAGATATGAGGACCAAATAAAGGGTGAGTCATCGCGACTGATTCTTTGCAGGCCAATTGCTTGTCTTGGAAAAGAAAAACGGACTAATAACGAGCAGAACTCGCTAAACAACCACGAGCACAGCCTTCGCCACCAGCCAGGGGGGTATCAACAGGGGCATCAAATCCAAGCCCACCAGGTATTGCACCGTTTGAGCCTACCGGTGAAGTCCCGCCTCCGAGTTATGGTACGTGTATCTCAGCCTTCAATTGGATTCTGGACAAAAAAGACTAACGTAGAAGAAACAGCATCCATAGAGCGTGCCCCAGGCCCGCTCTTTGAGCAACGCTTGCGGAGTCTCTTCCACGAGAACAATGGAAAAGACCCAGACTCTCCGGAGAAGGATGCTCCGGAACACCTGGAGAACGAAGATCCTCGTGACCTGCCGTTTACCCCTGAATGGACCTCGACGAACGAGTTGATCAAGGGCATCCCTCACCAGGCCTTCCCCAAAGAGGCCGAGTCTAATCGTCTCCTGAACCTTTTCAACTCCTACATGGGAGTCACACAGCACTTCTTAGACCAGCGGACATTCACAGACAACATGACGCTACTTTTCAACAGCCAAGCGTCTCGAGCTCGGCAGATGGACACACCATGGTTTACACTGTACCTTCTGGTCATGGCCATGGGCAAGTTGATGGAGGAGGATCCGCGAGAGGTGCGAGGACCGCCGGGAGCGTTCTGGTTTGCGGAGGCCATGAGGAGGCTACCGCCGCTTCACAGTATCAGCGAGTACGGCATTGTCGGGCTCGAGATTTTGTGTCTAGCGACGACATATTTGCAGTGGAACGACCGGAAGAATGATGCATACTTTTTCGTGAGCTTAGATGACTTCATGCTTAGACCAAATGGGGAACTAACAAGCTACAGGTGGGAACAACAGTAAGGCTTGCCCTGACTCTGGGCTGCAACTTGCCATTTTCAGAACAGAAGTGCTTGCCTTCAGAGAGAGCACACAGAATGAGGGTATGGTGGACTGTTTACATGCTGGACCAGTAAGTCGAATCTTGAAGAACAGCAGAATCCTCAAGGCCTATGAAGCTAATTTCTTGTCTTCACCAGGCGTATATCAGCAGGCCTCGGGCGTCCAGCTTCCGTTGATGATAGGCACCTTTCCTTCGATCTGCCTGGTCCCTCTCCAGGGTTCGATTCTCCGGAGCCGCTCAATGTCAACGTCAAGATTGCCCGCACAACTGGAGAGATTATGTCATGTAAGTCCACTTCACAGCATGTCTGTTTTGATTGCAAGCTTTATGACCAGCAACTTACCATTTTGGCGCACAGCACTATACAGCCGAGGTGCACTATCGCAAGCTGATCTTGTCAGGAAGATGAGGAATCTGCTTCAATCACTACACGACATTGGTGGATCTATCCCGGCAGATCTCGCCATTGACTTCAGCAACAAGCAGTTTGAGGTCACCAGAGCTGGCGCATCACTCTATCTGAGATTATTCCAGGTGAGGACCAATCGCTGTCTCACACCGGGCAAACCTTTAGGCCTTGTTGATGAAAACGAGTGCTAATCCAACTCGAACCAGTCCATCATTCTCTGCATCAGACCAATTCTCCTTCAAAAGGTCAAAGACAAGGTTCAGAAAACACAGAAGCAAGCCGTGACCTCGGCAATCTCTCAGCTGTGCCTTTTGTGCAACGAGTCGGCTTTGAGAATTATCCGCATTCTCATGGCTATGCAAAGACAAGAAGAAATTGGTGAGGACTCGTCCTTATCTTCTCCGGGTGGCAAATCTGAAGAGATGGATCGCTAACAAGACATAGCACCCTTTGCTTTCTTCGATCTGGATGCTGCCTTCTCCGCTGCCTTCGTCTTGATCATGCGTGGCTTTGCACACAAGCAAGACAGTCAGAAGCCGCCACCACAAGAACTCTTCCAGGCCATTGATTTCTTGGAGTATCTGTCTTCAGCCGGCAATCAGGCGGCAGCGCAGCGTCTCAAGGATGTTCGGCAGTTCTCTGCACATGTGTGGGCCAATGTGGTAGCGTTCGATAAGGACCATGACGTGCAGATGGGAGATTCCGGGGCGTCCCATGGGGTACCCCAGGTGGGGAACACACCCGGGGCCGGACTACCGGAGCAGTCGGGACCTTCACCGGCTCAGATGCCCTTGACCACACCGACGCCCAGCTCTTCGGTGCCATCTTGGGAGGGAGAAATGTTTGGAGGACCTGCAGATACCTATGGATCAGACACGTTATTCGGTTTGAATCTGGATGAGAATTTAGAACAAGCTTTTGGATTGGAAGCGGCGGAGGGCATCTACAATAGTTTCAACGATCCTACTCTCCCCTTAACGGGAGTTGACCAGCTAGATTGGGCTGAGTTGGAAAAGATGATGGCACCAGGGGGATATGGTTCTTAGTCACTAGAAATAATGTTAAATGGATTCGAAACATTATCAATCAACGCGAATAACTCAGGAGATTCCCTTTGTCAGTGACGTATGAATTGCCTCTGCATTAATAGAGTCCGAAGTGTAACTTCTCCGTTCGACCGTGGTGGACGATCTGGGCGAGTGGGGCCAATCGGATGACGGCCGCCTCCGGTTCGGTTACCGAGCCGAGCATCATCACCAAATTTCGCAATGATTCAGAACATCATCGGAATAGAGCCGAGCTTCGAATGATGCGCCATTAACCGGGAGAAGAGTACTTAATATCTGGCGATAACCTCTTTGAGGTCATGTGTGATATTGAAGCTGCATTTTAAAGACAACATTGAACGCGGAGTAGACCTGTGTCAAAACATCACATCAAAGTTCAACAATGGTTCAATCAACACTAGACAGCGTCTCCATCCTTGGCGCCGGCAACGAAGCCTCTCGCCGGATCCTCACCAAGGAAGCCGTCAACTTCCTCGCAATTTTGCATCGCAGCTTCGAACCGACCCGCCAACACCTCCTCAAGCTCCGTCAACAGCGTCAAATCGACACAGATAACGGACACCTGCCAGATTTCCTCCCTGAAACTAAGCACGTTCGCGATGACAAGAACTGGAGGGGCGCGCAGCCGGCGCCTGGTTTGGTAGATCGCAGAGTTGAGATCACTGGACCCACGGACCGGAAAATGGTCGTCAACGCTCTCAACTCTGACGTTTGGGCCTACATGGCCGATTTTGAAGGTGAGATGGAAGTCATTGAAATCGTCAGTGGAATATAGACTTACACCGACTAGACTCAAATGGTCCTACATGGGACAACATGATTCAAGGTCAGGCCAATCTCTACGACGCCATCCGCCGGCAAGTCGACTTCAAGCTTGGCGAAAAAGAGTACAAGCTCAGAACTGATCGCACTCTCCCCACGTTGATTGCCCGCACGCGCGGATGGCACTTGGACGAGAAGCATTTCACAGTCGATGGACAGCCCATGTCCGGCGCTCTGTTTGATTTCGGACTGTACTTTTTCCACAACGCCAAGGAGCTGATTTCTCGCGGTGCCGGCCCCTATTTCTATCTGCCCAAGATGGAGTCGCATCTCGAGGCAAGGTTATGGAACGACGTGTTCAACATGTCGCAGGATTACATCGGTATCTCGAGAGGCACAATCCGTGCTACCGTGTTGATTGAGACCATCAGCGCTGTTTTCGAAATGGACGAGGTTCGTACTCCTAGCTACAGCAAGCACACTCCCCTCACTAACATGCTTCAAAGATCATCTACGAGCTCAGAGACCACAGCTCAGGCCTCAACTGCGGCAGGTGGGACTACATCTTTACCTTCGTCAAGCGCTTCCGTAACCGCCCCGGCTTCATCCTTCCCGACCGCTCCGACGTCAGCATGACCGTCCCCTTCATGGACGCCTACGTCAAACTCCTCATCAGCACATGCCACGCCCGTGGCGTCCATGCGATGGGGGGTATGGCGGCCCTCATCCCGCGCAAGGACGACCCGGCCGCGAACGCCAAGGCGATGGACAGCGTGCGCGCCGACAAGCTACGCGAAGTCAAGGCCGGGCACGACGGTACCTGGGTTGCGCACCCGGCGCTGGCGTCGATTGCGTCGGAGATCTTCAACGAGCATATGCCTACTGCCAACCAGATCTTCAAGAGGCCCGAGGTGAAGGTTACGCGTGACGATTTGATCAACTCTGTTGTTCCTGGAAAGATCACCGATGAGGGCGTTCGGAAGAACTTGCACATCACTTTGGCGTACATGGAGGGTTGGCTTCGTGGCGTGGGCTGTAGTGCCATCAACTATCTTATGGTAAGTTTTGGTTGCTACTTTTGTGGCCGTCTTGGGCTGTATCTAACAGACTTGCAGGAGGACGCCGCGACAGCCGAGGTGTCCCGCTCACAATTGTGGTACTGGGTACACCATGGCGTCAGCACCGCCGAAGGCACAAAACTTGACAAGACAACAATGCTTAACGTCCTCGACGACGTCACAAAGGAACTGCTCAAGTCTGCGCCGGCGAACAACAAGTTCGAGTTGGCGGCGAAATACCTCCGGCCGCAAGTTACGGGCGAAGATTACGCCGACTTCCTTACAACGTGAGTTACTACTGTCTCTGCCTTAGTGCCGTGCAATGCTAACAGCGCAACTTTCAGACTACTCTATGATGAGATTACTTCTGTTGGACCATCATGGAAACTTTAGATATTGAGCCAACGATGCTATCTGTATGATTAATGAAACCGATTGAATGGCGATTCTTTCCACAATGTTGTATGCTACGTATGACTAGAATTGGAGTGTCGGAGCGGCAAAACGCATATCCAAGAATTCAGAGACTGTAGTCATCAACTATACACGCAATTCCAAGTCAACTTGGGGTATGGTAAATGACAAAAAACGACTTGGGCCTGATTCGAACAGACGCTCCCGAAGGAACAAGATTTCTAGTCTTGCGCATTAGACCACTCTGCCACCAAGCCGTGATCCCAGGTCCGCCGAAGCGGGCTGATTGGTTGGAGAAGTCAGATTTCTAATTGTGTAGTCTTAATGGGCGCCGAGACGCCTGAAAGGCCTTACAGATATTGCGTTGCTTGCCACGATTTCCCACCTCTAATCCTGAAGGTGAGATTTTATTGTCATGCTAAACCTTGATTAAAACTTACCCAGACTCACATTAGCCTTTTTTCTGCCGAAAGTCGCGGGTCCGGATTAAACCGTCTGAAGTTTGGAACGGCCGCTGCCGTCACGAATGTTCGGGCAAGGTACTCCGTACTCATGTTTGTGTGCCTCGGGTATGCTGACTTCTTCAACGGCGCTCCAAAAAACGGAATTGAAGCCCGATGCTCAATCATGAATCCTTGCGTAATGAAATTGGAAAAGTTCCCGCATGCGATTGACTCAACAAGCAGTCGGCGTTACGTCGAAACCCAGGCGGCCAAGGCAAAAGTACCAGAAATCAGGAAGTCGAGAGACGCTCCTGGTAGCGGACCTGTCCACTTCATGTTTTTTTTTCTTGAAAAACTTGTGGAGACTTGGAGCTCCGGAAACCGCGTCGGGCTTAAGTTGTGTCGCTCACTCACCGACTCGAAGTCTCATGCAAGCATCGACTGCGCCCTTTGTAAGCCCCTCATAGATATCAAATTGGCTTCTAGGAAGACTCGCGAACAGTGGCAGAAGCTAGAAGCAACCATCACTCGAGCACACGAAGCAGGCTTCTCCTACGAAAAAAGCCAATGGGTTCGTATACTTTAAGCAGAAAGATTGGCGCACTGGGATCGAGGGCCTCCGCGAAGTCTTCTCCGGAGACGCCGACCCTGAGGACGAATTCTTTGCGGACGCTCATGACTTCAATTGGGACTTCCTGAAGGACAAGTCGTGGTATGAGACGTAGTCAAATTTCTACGGCCTTCGGTTAGGCAATTTGAAGGTGAAGACTCTGCGGAATCTGCACCAGGATATGGCCCAGTTGGTCAAATTGGGTGCGGTGCGTTATTCAATCCCTTCAGCAACCGAGAATATATACCTGACCTAAATATCTCATTCTCAGTGCGACTCTCCACCAAAAGATGTAACAGCTTTCGAGGCGGCTTTCTTTGAGATGGACCTGACACGGAGAACTCATGCCAAGATTTTCAATGAGCTGGAACGGCTGGAGGACCAAATCGAATTCGATATTGATCTCTTCACAGAGTACTAGTTCGCAAAAGACGGAACGCCCACCCCACACATCACTCCCGAACCTATGGTACTTCGCAACCTTAAGGAAGATACTAGAGATCAACTACCTGGATTCCTTGACAGCATCAACGGTCTTTACCATGATATCGTGACACCAGACGAGGATGGCGCTCCCGAGAACTACACCATTGTTGCCTGGAGCATAGAAGCTCTCAAAGAGGCAGTGACATCAACTGAGCTCTCCTGGAAGGCGAGATGCGAGAAAGCGATTGCCGACGGCAGCGTTCCAGACGATTGCGCAGATGAAGATGAAGAAGCATTTCAACTATGTCTTCAACAACCTTGCGCTACCAGAAAGAGTATCGCATTGACGGCAAGAAGGTTTTTCAATTGGACAGGAAGCGACTGTCATGCGGCTTGAAGATGCCCTTGGCAGATTCATCGTGAAGTCCCCCGGGATGGAAGAAACATATACACCTGTGGACCCGGAGCCTTTTCCCCTCAAGATCAGACCTCTTTCGTCGCCAGTTGAGGACGATGGCCTGTTGGCAGCGGACATGAACTTCGGTCGTTTCACAGTGATCATTATCCTCTCTTTCTCCTATTACCGGATGGCGACTGTCCAGTCAAACTCAAAGGTTGCGGAGCCGACAGAAGGGTACGAAATAGTAAACGGCGTCGACACTTTGTGGTAGGGTCTGTCTAAGATGAAGGATTTTTCTCGTGATGATACGAAAAAGGTCCTTAAGCAGGCTCTTCGGCGAGCGGAAGGACCAACTGAGTCTGGGGTTCCACAGCGAGACTGGCGACTGTCAACAATACGCAAGCCTAACCCATGGTTTTCTCACAGTGGCTCTCCGCGGCTTTACTTCTGTTCAAAGGGCGTCGATGATAAAGGGACCCAGTGCCACAAGGGTGTTCTCGGTTTTTAATCCGTCTTGCACCCGTTTTCAAGGCCTCATCTCAGTGAATGGAGATTTACTCAAGTTGAAGGGCTACAAGGCTGAAGATTACTCGCCGCCGCAGTGGAATAACGACGCGCAAACGGAATTGGAGTAGGATGGAGAGTCATCTACGTCTGGGCAGTCATCTTCAGACGTCGACATGAACTATGGAACTTGCAGGTTCAAAGTACCTCTGAATAAAGGGAAGCCGAATTATGTATCAATTTTGCCAGAGTCATGATATGGATGTCGGTAGACCGCACTTAGTTACGTGCCTAGTCTCGGTCAGGCCGTCGTTATGGCGTTGAGTCGCTTTGTGAGGCGTTGGCTTAATTCCCTTCAATGTTCGAACTTAACTATTGCTTCGTCTGTCTCCAGCCCGCAGGAACACGCTCGGGTGCAGTTGTTCTCTTCTCACGCGCGATAATTGTAGTACATCCAGGGTCCAACTCTTACTACCTAAGAAGAAGAGAATAAGTCCTGGTGCCATGATGTTGTACCCAGGTCCTGTTAAGTTACGCAAAATGTTCACATCGTTAGAAGCTCAGGTTTTGCATACCGTCCGGTAGTATCACCAGCCCTTTCACTCGTTTCCTTGTCTGGGCCTCAACGAATGTGTCAGTTCGCCGATTCCTGACTTCGTGGATACATGGAAAAATTGGACACAACCTTGAGGTCTCATTTAATCGAAACGCCACAAAACAGACATTTCAAAACCAAAGAACCTGCCTTGCTGGGAAACTTTTCCGGTTCAAAGACCCAAACGGTAGCAAGAACAGATGTCTAAGCGTCTGATAAGAAAAACTGAAAACCGACCATTTCGACGTCTCTTGATTCTGCCTCGAAAACCACTCCGTTGACTGTACCATTTTCGACTAAGCCGCTCCGATACCACCGCTCCAGATCAGACAATGCGCGACAAAAACTTGAGGAAGCTGGCAAAATGCGTGCTGCCCTACAAGGAACAAAATGAGCGACAGGAAACATACGAACTCATGCCGCTTCCAGGTCCGGCTCCAGATCCGAATTTACACAAGTTCGAGGAGGTTCCTATAAAGATCAAGTCCAAACGCGTCAGGTTCATCAGGAGACTTACAAAGCAACCACGATTATACAAACGTGTGCCAGTTCCAAATCCGACTTTTCTCCAATTCGCAAGGTTGCCCGATAAGATCAAGTCCAAAATTTGGCGAGAGTTTTATTTGGAGCCTCGATACTATATCGCAGAACTTCATCCAAAAGACGATGAGATAGAAGGCGAGGACTACGACTGGGAATTTAAATCTTGCGATGGGGAATCGTCCGGCGAAGAGCCTTTCGAAGAGAGCACTCCGAAAGAGAACTCTCCCAAAGAGAGCATTCCTGAAGAGAAAATTCCTGAAGAGAATGTCTCCAAGAAGAGTACTCCTGAGGGTAGTACGTCAAACATCGGTACTCCGCAAACCGATGCCCTGAATACCAATGATCCTAAGGGGCAACCATATGACGAGTATCTATCTGATGAGTATAGTTCTGAGGAGGATGAAGCTGCTGAGGATGAAGTAGCCGAGGATGGGACTGACGTGAATGGGGCTGCGGCTGCTGAGAATGGAGTTGTTGAGCATGGAGCTGCGGAGGATACAACTATCAACGATTTATTCGACGAGCTAGGACCCGACGAAGCAGACGATAAGATAGACAACGTGGAGGGCCGCGATTCCACTGATCTTCCCATTTGGCCATCGAGTAACAGCACAGAGCCACTCAACGAGGAAGACGAGGAAGACGAGGAAGCAGACAAACCGACACACCGCGCTGTATTCTGGACCCTGTCCAGACATGATGCAGAGTACTCGAATGGCTACTATGACTCCATCGACACGACGATCGATGTTTTATCGAGGCCTGTGGCCCAAAGCGTCAGGCCGCGATTCTGGTTCTCAACATTTGTCCAGGACGAGCTCGAGGAGGGCGAGGAAGGTCCCTGGATGCCGATTCCTCCACCGAAAGATTCGTCAGCAGAAACGGGAGAGATTGTCAGCATCAACTGGGACATTGACTTTGTCCACGTTAAGGTGCGCTTCCGCACATGTGTCCCAGAAAGCATCGACTGGATGCAAAACATTCAAAACCTCGTCATCGACACGAAGCCTTTCATAGCGCGTCGTCCACAGCATGTCACAGACACATGTTTCTGGATGTGGACCAACAAAGCAACGCTTTCAAACCTCAAAAGTATCCGACAAATTGCTGCTCCGGAGTACCAAGTCCCATTTTGGCATACCGAGTGGTGTCACTACCAGATGAGACACCTTCTCCGTTTCGCACCGGGAACCCCTCCTCAGTGGCGCAATATCCAGTCCGAACTGGTGTCTGACGAGTTCTGGGTGCCTCCTGACAGCTTACCTCGACAACCCTAATGGAAACAATTCGTCAGGGACTTTTTTGATAAATTTAGACACGTGATTGGGAGTCGGACCTGGAAGAATTACATGAAGGTTCCCCATGCCTCCGACTGGGATGAGGCAAAAGGGGCGCGTGTAATTTTTGATATCGTCAAGCGACATCCAAGCTACTTCCACGGCATACTCTTCCATCCGCCTGGAAAATGTGGTCATGAATTCATTGTCGCAGAGCTTTAGTACGTTTGGGGCTAACATCGTGATTGATGGATTGGTTCTCTTCGTCGAGTTTCACTCTTTGATAGCGGATATCATAACTACAATGGTTTATGAGGAAACCCGGACTGGTGGTGTAACCGTACACACGCAACAGTTACGTTACTCTAGTAGGTAGCTCACGTGTGCCTTATACGCTATCTCTGGAATTCAACAGTGTAGTCAATTGTCAAATTTATCATGTTCGAGTCAAGCGCTTTATTCCTCATCCATTCCAAGTTTTGCTTTTGAGATAATTGAGATAACATAATGTCCCGACGGCTCCTGCTAAGAGTCTCTGAAAATAAAGAACATACCGCCCATTTCCCCGCATCATTGCAGTGACTGCATATTGACGATATTGGTCGGAATCTCCAAGACTATATCTGTTCACTTAGCCGAAGCTTCGCTCCAGGCAAAATCAATCAAGCACGGGACCTCATGACTGCAGCTTCTGCTTTGATCCGGCCTTGGCAGCCGGGTTTAATCAGGAACAATACGAAGTCGTCAACAGAATCCGGCTCTTGGCTGCAACGTAACAAGTTTATACACCCAATCGAGGCTGAGCGGCACCCGTCAAATCCCAATCCAGTGCGTGCCCCCGCACTTTGTATATTAGAGGGTTGCGGCTCATACGACTCTGGTACGCACTGCCGATTGGCTCCCCGCCTGCTGCTCACTTGCCTCACTTAAGCCTATTATAAGCTTAATGAAGCGTTCAGATGAAGCCAACGGAATAGCCAGCATACTTCTGGTTAGCGTGGGCCACTGATAGAGTGAAGGAAGGCAATGCCACCAAAGTCATACTACGCAAGCCTGATAGCTTGGCAACTCCAGCAGGACTGTATCCGGGACACCAGTTGCACCGCGTGGATTACTCTCTCAACGATGAAGTTTCCGCAGCGCAACTCGATAATCGAGCTTATAAAACGCACTAACCTTGCCAGTTCTCTGCCTTCTGTCTTCATGTCCTGCATCCATCTCCTCTTGGAAATTCGTTCTTTTCCTCAGAGGTCTTAAGATGCCTTCCTTCAAAAGCTTTACGCTGTACTGGCTGGGCGTTGTCGCGCACCTTACATCAGCGTGGCCAACCCAGCACCCCGAACATGTCCAGATACTCACCCGAGCAGAGCAGCTCGCCACCGAATACGACTATGTAATCGTCGGCGGTGGCACTTCTGGCCTGACAGTTGGTGACAGACTCACAGAAGACGGCAAATGTTAGTTTCCGAGTCACAACATGTTTTCTGCTTCCAGTGTAAAGATTCAGACTAATACAGACAAGATACCGTCCTTGTGATCGAGTATGGCTACTACGATAGTCAGACCGGCATGAACCCACGCCGCATGTACAATATCACATCCAAGCCGTGCCCCAATCTCAACGGCCGAAGCTTCGACGTGGGTATTGGATGCGTTGTCGGCGGCAGTTCTTCTGTCAATGGACAGGTCTTCCTCAGGGGAACTAGAGATGAGTACAATGCCTGGAAAGAACTTGGTGGACCCGGGTCTACCTGGGACTGGGATAACCTCCTGCCATACTTCAAGAAGGTGAGCTATCAGGCGAGCGTATGGAGACTACGAGATTGACGGATCATAGGGCATCACCCTCGCGCCTCCAGACGCAGCTCAAGCTCGGGAGTATAACATCACCTTCGACAACAAGTACTGGGGCACAACCTCCAAGATCTATGCTGCCTTTGGCAAGGGCCCTCTTCAGTCCGTCCTGAGTAGGTCCCAGTCCACATGGACCCCTTCCTGTCACTCACAAACCACTGAACATATCCCTAAGAGATCCTCTATAACGCCATGGCAAAGATGCCCGGCATGACCATCCCCGTAGACAGCGGTGCCGGCGAGGCCGGTCTCTACTGGTACCCATTGTCCCAAGATCCCGTGCAATTCCAGCGCTCCTATGCTCGCACCGGCCACTGGGACGGCCTCAACCGCGCAAACTACGAAATGATTGTTGGCGCCAAGGTCAACCGGATTCTCTTTGACGGCGACACCGCCACGGGAGTGCAATTCGTCTCTCGCAACAACACGGGAGCTGCCCCTGTGCAGATCAAAGCCCGTCGCGAGGTCATCCTCGCCGCTGGCTCCATACACACACCGCAGGTCCTCATGCTCAGCGGCATCGGGCCCCGCGCACACCTAGAGCAGGCACGAATCACGGTCAAGGTCGATTTGCCGGGCGTTGGATCCAACTTCCAGGACCACAGCTACATCCCAAGCATCTCCTACCAATGGGGCATCCAGCCCCCCAACACAGGCGGAGGTGGCTGGGGTGGCGGCGGTCCGCCCTCCCTTGCCTCCATGATCGGCCTGCCTGTCGTCAGCCCCGACAGGTTCGAGACCCTCGCCAAGGCCTTTGAAGTCCAAGACCCCAAATCCCACCTGCCCTCGATCTACACTGCCGAGCAAATTGAAGGCTATAAGCAGCAGCAAAAGGTCTGGGGCAGGCTCATGCGCTCCAAGAACGTCGTCTTCTCCGAGATGATGATGTACGGCCCCGGCGGCTCCGTGCAGAACCTGCACTGCATGTCGCGCGGCACCATCCTCCTCAACACGGCGCAGCCCGAGAGCGAGATGATCGTTGACTACCGCGCTGCTTCCAACACCATCGACTTGGACGTTATGGCGGAAATCATCAAGTTCATGCGGCGGTACATGACCACCGGCGACCTCGCTCAGTACCAGGCGCGCGAGACATCGCCTGGCGCGGGCGTCTCGTCCGATGCGCAGCTCGTGAGCTGGGCCAAGGGGCAGATTATCCCGTCCGTGTATCATCCTGTTGGTACCACTGCGAAGATGCCACGCGAGTGGGGCGGCGTGCTAGATGAGGACTTGTTGGTGTATGGTGTGAAGAAGTTGAGGATTGTTGATGCTTCGATGATGCCTACGACTGTTGGTGCGACCACGTCCATGACTGTTTACGCTGTTGCCGAGAAGGTAAGTTCCGGATGTTTCTCCAAATCCGTGGAAATATTGCTAATAAGAATTAAAGGCCGCCTATATGATCAAAGCGCAGACACAGTAGTTGGGTGTTGGCTTTCTATGGAACTTTCGAAGGGCTTGGTGGAGAGACATGAGTGGATTCGGGACTTAGGCTGCGGACATTTTAGCACATTCATTACTTTTACATACCACACAGCTAACTCGGTATTTGAGCCGGCTGTCGGAGGAGCGTATGACATACAGTCTTTCATTGAGTAGTTGATCTTTGACAATACTTCTAGTTTCATTCAATGTGAAGCTGTTCTAATAAATAACTGTTCAAACCAAAGGCAAGGGGGGGATGAATTGAATGATGTTTCGACGGCCATCGCCATCTCAATACTTCAGCCGGTGTCTTCTACTAAAGCTCCTCGGATACCCCTTTCGCACTCGTCAGCTTATCGAATGACACATGATTGATGACAGACATGCCTCCTTTGGCGCTGTCCTGGCTCTGCGCCTCCTCCCACTCCTTCATCCAAGCCTTGACAAACGCGACCTCCTGAGCCTGGACGTTTTTGATGGAAGCAGGAGGGAAGTCCGGCGTGACATTCTCCGGCTTCAACCCGTTCTCATCCCAGTGATGAACACCCAGATCGATAAGAAGGAAGGGCTCGCTGGTTGTCGACTTGCGGTTCAGGCCGATTTTGTGGGGCGTGGCAGCTCTCCAAGGGTCAGCTTCGCCGTCGACGATCGCGACGCGCGGGTAGCTGAAGTTGAAGCCGCCGTGCTTGTTGATGGCGTCTACATTGGGGGGATCATTGATGTTGAAAGCTTCGCGGCAGTAGATAGAGCTATAGTCGACGTCGATGAGCCGGGAAATGAGGGGAAGCTGGTCATCGGGCACACCCGATCCGGTCTGGAAGTAACCCCATCTATGAGAGTTATTAGCAAATGATCAAACTCGCTGGCTTGAAAACACTCACTCTGTGCAGACCTGGTAGATCCAGCTGCGGCCCGGACCTTGGCGAAGAGAGGTGTTTTTGTGCTCTTCACTATTGCGGCTTGAGAAGCACTTGACCAAGTCTCCGCTCCTGCAACCCTTCTTGACGTAGTCCTTCACATAGCCGACATAGTTGAGCATGCGATTCGCCAACTTTGCATCTGAGCCACTAGCGGAGAGCAGTTCGTCCACCGACGACTTCAGATGGCGAGTGCTGCCAAAGAGAACACTGTCTGAGCTGACAGTGGCGCAGTACGTTCCAAAAGCGGTGGTGTCCTGGGCAGGGTCCCAGTTGGTCGACTGCAGTCCCGAGATGCCGTAAGACAAGGTGCTAGAGAAATCATCATCTTGAAGAGGGCCCAGGCCAAAAAGATCTTTAAGCTGGCTCTTGTCAGAGTCAGACTTGCCCAGCAAGATCTTGTCGACCACCTCGGTGAGCTTCTGGGTCGTCTCGGCACAGTCACCTGGCGAAAAGAGCCTGGCACCTTCGTAGTACTCCCAGTAGTCGATGATCGCTGCCGTGACACCCGAAGAGGAGATTCCACCCCAGAAGACCTCCGGGTAGAGCTTTCTGAGGAAGGCGGCGAACGCTCCGGCGTACGAACCTCCGTAAGCAAGGTACGCAGTTCCAGGTGCGGTAAGGTTCAAGTCCTCGTGACCAGGGAAGCTGATGTGCTTCGCAAAGTAGGCCGTATCGGCGAGGGCCTGGTCGGTGCTCAAGAAGCGGAGGTTCTCGGTGCTGAGATCGGGCACAGGGAAACTCTTGCCATAGTAGCGATGTTCGAGAACGACTCCAACGCCACCGGTGGCCTTGGCAAGGATGCTAAGGATGCCGTGGTCGAGGAAAGGCAAACGCTCCTTGGCGTCCGTCTCTCCGGCCGCGAGGATGATTACAGGGCCTCCCTTGCGGTAGTGCTTCGCGTCGAACCAGTAGCGGAGGTCAAAATACTCATCCGAGTGCGGTTCATAGCGAGAGTCGTTGTGAAAGTGGTCAATAGGGACGGAGAGGTTGTACTCGGGGTACTGCTCCGCAAAAGAGGCCGAGGCAATTCCCGCCTGAGACTCAGACTCGGCCCGGGCAGCCGATTGCAGCGCGTTCCAAGCCTCGTGGCTCGCGAGGTGATGCGGACCAAGTCCGGCAGCAACGGCCCGGGCCGCAGCCAGGACAAAGCAAGCTCCGGACTTCCAATTCGTCATGTCGCCGTCGTGTGATGGGGAAACCAACGATGTCCGTCCCGCAGTTGGAGGCGGCGCCGAGTGTTGTTGTGACTAAAGTTGTGGAACCCGGCGTAGTTGGTGCGGGGTCATTTGTATGTGAGCATCGCGCCCGGGCCCATAATTCTTCGGGCTTACCTTATCGGCTGTTGCTCTCACTGAAGCTCATCTCATCTCATCTCACTCTCACACTCACTCATCTTTTAGCATCAGAGAGACCGCACCGAATTGATCCATTCGAGGCCGTGTTTTAACCCTTTTCAATTAGGCAAACTTACGCACCCTCGGTTGATTGGAGTACGGGCAGTAGAAGCGAAAAGCGGGCGTCACCACTGCAGGCCTTATTCTAGACTAGCTGCGGCAAATAGCTAGATGATCAGATGCTCTCGAGTAAAAGGATTTCGAGGATAAAAGGCACTATGGATGGTTTTCAGTTCATTGATATTGTTTCCCGCATCATTCCAAGAAATTTGTATGGACCTCTGCTTGAGTCTGCCGGTTGAGTCACTCGCCGCAGACCCGGCGTATTACGCTTGGCCCGTAAGCTGTCAGCCCACGAGTGCTTCAATTAACCCAGCAATCCGATGATAGTACGCAGCTGTCTCACGAAGCTCCTCCAGCAGGTCTTCGGAGATTGGGCGAATACCAATCGAGATCCATATTCAATGGAAATGCGACGACCTCGGCGTGAGATGTATGTCCTTGGCTTGAGCCAGGAGCCCACCTAGAAGGTACTTTTGGCAAGCTTACAGTTCTGGTCCGTTGATAGGCGGGATGGAATTCTCTTTGAGCCAGCAAGGCTCTAATGGCATTCTTTTTATATGACATGCTCATTTGGTTCATGCTACGCTCCTCGAGAGACCCCATCCTCATTCCTGAAAATGGCAGCTCTAGACCTTTCAATATTGACCAAAAAGACCCTTGCTGTCTCTCGCGGCTTCATCTACACCTACTACACGTCACCCGCTCGCAACTCCTTGCCGACTCTCCTTCTCTTTCACGGCTGGCCTGACACGGCGCGTCTCTGGGCCGGCCTCGTCAACAACTACCTCATCCCGAATGGTTACGGCGTCGTGGCCCTAGATAACCTCGGCTTCGGCGATACGTCAAAGCCCACGGACCCAGAAGACTACGCATGGCACCGTCTCACAACGGACGCTGTCAGGATCCTCGATACAGAGGGCTTAACCAAAGTCGTCTCACTCGGCCACGACTGGGGCTGCCTCATCGCCCAGCGGTTATACAACTTTCACCCCGATCGCATCTGCGGCCTCGTCACTTTGAGCATCCCTTACATGCCGCCCACCGGCCACTTTGATCTCGAAACGGTCAATGAAATGACGAGAAAGGCCTTCGGCGTCGGCATATTTGAGTACTGGCACTTTTTCCTCGCCGAAGACTCGGTAGACATCATGAACACAAACCTCGAGTCCGTATATAGCGTCGCATTCGGCGACCCGCACACCTGGCTTGAGAACTGGTGCACACCCGGCAAGATGCGCGAGTTCATCACCCAAGGTCGCACGCAGCCGGCGCTACCGTTCGCTACACCGGAGCACAGGGCCGACTTTATGAAGCGTTACGGCAGAGATGGTGGGTTTGCTGCACCGAGATGCGTTTACACTGTGACCAGCTCTGGGATCTCGGCCAGGTCGGAGAGTATGCTGAGCGAGGATGTGAAGACGGTTCGGGTGCCGGTGCTGTACTGGGGCGGGGAGCAGGATTATGTGTGCAGGCCTGGAATGCTCCAGCAGAGCATCGCGGCTGGCGTGCTGCCGGATATCAAGAGTATTACGAGGGAGGGCGGACATTGGGCTTTGCTTGAGCAGCCGGTTGTGTTTGGAGAGGATGTGTTAGGATGGTTGCAAGAGACATTTGACAGTTGCTCGTGAGTCGCAACTGAGAGAGCAGGGATAACCCCAGCCGACACCGCAAAGGCACAGTTGACAAACAACTCTCAATGCAATTGATCGAAAGCAAACGACAACCATAAAAAAATAAAAAAAAAGCAAAAGATTGATTATCACGAGCCGTGATGATGACGTTACTGGACGATCAGGGGATTGAACCCTGGGCCTCCCGCAGACACTAGGTGAATGCAAAGCGGGCGCTCTACCACTGAGCTAAACGCCCTGTAGTGAGTGCGACATTTGATGCCGCTGTGGGATGCTCACGATGCTCGCAAGCGAGTTTGAGAACCCCGCCGGCCACAGCTGCATGCATGCGGGCGGAGATAATGAGCCAGGATATTAGTAAGAGAGAGTGAGCGAAAACCAAGCTCACTCAAATCCACAACAAGAATTTCTAAACTTACTTATTTCGTTCGCACGAGAGGAGGGTAGAAGAGAAGGGTTGACGGTAAGGTAGGTGGGTGGATAAGTAACTTATGCTTAACGATGGAGATGAATGTCAAGTTGATGAATGCACAGCTATCCGCATATCATTCATCTCATGCTCAGGAAATTCGGGGAGCTTCCTATTAGTGGGCAGGCCGGCAAAAAGAAACAGGCTACTTAGTACCACACATGCAACGGCCTTCAACACCGAGCGGGGCTTTAGCTCCGATCCTCCCCTTGGTGTAGTTGGTTCATCACGTTCGACTGTAATGGTTACCTTGTCATCGAAAGGTCTCTAGTTCGATTCTGGAAGGGGAGAACAACTCTTTTTTTTTTCATTGACTATATGTTGAGTGATGCATTTCGTGGGTTTGCGTAAAGTACTTTCATTCATTGGGTTTCTTTTTTGATATTCATGGCAGCTCCTTGATGGATATCGCAGCATTGGTAGTTTCCCTTTTTCCCTTACACATCTCGAAGTCACTCCGTCCTTCACGACCTCTCACCAATCCCACCATCAACATCCACTCCCTCGCTTCTCGCCTTCTTGATCGCATCTCTTGCCTCCTGCTGCTCCTTCTTCTTTCTATTAAGGACATTAGTAACCTCACTCACTTGCATCAACCGTCCAGCACTCCAAGTAGGGGAATACTCACTCCTCAATTCCACTCCCAAACTCCACATTGACAACCTCCTGCCCCGGCACCTTTTGCGTACCACTCTTCCTCTCAACCGCATCAGCAACCTTCCCCTCCGCCAACGTAGCCATTTGCTCAGCCTCGACGTTGGGGTTCTCCAGCTCGTTGCCTCTGCTGCCCTCAGACACGTACGCGGTATTCTGCCGCTCTGTCTCGTCCACAGGGCCGGAGGAGTGTACGCCTGCGCCCAGCGAACTCGGCGTCGCGTCGTCGACGGGGCGTGATTGAGATTGCGGGAAGGGCGTGCGGCCTAGCGCTGCGTCGCGCGCGGCGGTTTCGCGGTCTGTGGTATCATCGTGAGCCGCGGCGTTCTCGGCTGGGGTGCGGGTTGTTGGGTTCGAGGCTGTTTTGTAGGCTTCTGATGTTGGGGGTTGGGGTGGTGCTGAGGATGACATTTTTGCTGTGATGCGACGTGAGTTGGTTCTTGGGGTTATGGATTTCCTTGGGTGTAAGGTATAATGATTAATGTTACAACTATTGGATACGTGTTTGGATAACTATGAATGCTTTGAGAGTAAGTCTTTACAGTGAAATCCTGAGTCGCAAAATATTCTTTGGGAGTGAGCTCTCAAGCTCCAATGACATCGGTGACAGGTCGATGACGTCGGCGGGCAGTCGTGGATCGACGATTAGTCTCTCCCGTCTCCGTCATCGTAAGCCTCCCATCACCAGTTAACTTGTCACCAGCTTTTGTCATAAAATGTCATACGATAAGCTTGCTCTCGCCGGTAAGTGAACAGTTGGCGGCGGTGCTTTCGCATCCCGGCCCGTCCACCTCTTGAGATGTGATGGAAATCTCCGGCTTGCCAGTTGTCGGGGCCCGCGTCTGGGTCCGGAGCCGATGTAAGACAACAGCACCCCCTCCGTCGATCCGGACGTTGTGCTCATCATCATCTAAGTATTAGTCGAGCTTAGAGAGCTCAACTCACTCTGCCACAGCTTACATATTCTAAACGAAGAATCAATCAGGTCCCGCATGGTACACACGATATTTCGTACAAGATTTATCTAAAGCCAGCTCGAACCAAAGCCTCGCGATGAATACCACAACGGTTGCCATCTGTTTAGCCACAGGCAATGCAACCTCCAACTCATCCCATCTCCACAAACCATCTCATTCCAAATGCCAACGCCGCTCAACTCTCATTGGTCTACCCCGCCCATCGACACCGAAAGCCAAGACACTCTTTACCCCAACAGCGTGGAGTGTGGTGCTTGACCGGACGAGGGGGATGGAGAAGCACGGCTCCGATTCGGCCTCGACATGTGCCGCCGAGCTCCGGCGACCCGCGATTTGCCCGTTTCTACCGGTGGTCGTCCCGTCTTTGCTCTCGAGATGGCGATTGGTGCTGAACCCCCGCATAACCCATCGACAATTCGATTGGAGAACCCGAATTGCATAACGTATGGTGTGATGTCGCGCAAACTTTCGCCTTTTCCACGGCCCGCGCGCTGGTGGTGTGGTGGTTGATGTCGGAAGGGCGTATAAGACATGCCCAAGACCCCTCTTCGACCCCGCGATCGAAAGTGTTGTAGATGTAGTAAACAAACTTCCTCCTTTTTGCTGTTGAAATCAACGTTGGAAGAACTTCAGAAATGGCACCATCCGCAACAGAGACAGCTGCCGCAAAGGCCGAGGACCTCAAGGCAAAGGGCTTGCCTTCGAAAGAAGTATCAAAGGAAGCAGTATACGCAGACGACTTTCCGCCCCTGGATGAGGAGCTCCCGGAAGTAAGGACAGACCACAGGGAACCCCTCAAGGCTACGGGTGTCCTTGACCAATTCGAGCACTTTGAAGTGACGCCCGTCATCGGCCGCGAGTACCCGACCCTCGATCTCAAGGAGCTGCTGCGCGCGCCCAACTCTGACGAACTCCTTCGAGACCTAGCAATCACCAGTGAGCAACGCTCTCCACTAAGAAACTTAACCCGTGCTGAAACAAATCTGCCACAGTCTCGCAGCGCGGTGTCGTATTCTTCCGCAAGCAGGATAACATTGACAACGATCTCCAAAAGGAACTCGTCCAGCGCCTTGGCGAGCTTTCAGGGAAGCCCTCGACTTCGAAGCTCCACATCCACCCCGTCAACAACTCGGGGCGCGGCGATACAAAGGACGATGAGATCAGCGTCATCTCGTCGGCGCAGGCCAAGAGGCTGGGCATACATCGCTTCCTGAACTATACCAAGAAGCAGACGCAGAGGTCGCAATGGCATTCCGACATCACGTTTGAGCCCGTGCCGAGCGACTATGCGCTTCTACGTCTTACGCAGCTACCAAAGACGGGAGGAGGTAAACAATTTCGGGTAATGGTCGACAGTATTGCGTACACTTGTACTGACGAAACGTTAGACACGCTGTGGGCCTCGGGCTACGAAGTGTACGACCGGATATCGAAGCCGCTCCAAAAGTTCTTCGATGGCATGACAGCCACGTACGCACAACCAGGCTTCAACGCAGCAGCCGAAAAGAACGGCTTCAAGCTCTACTCCGAAGCACGCGGCGCGCCCGAAAACGTCGGCGAGCTCTTGGAGGCCATCCACCCGGTGATCCGCACGAACCCGGTAACGGGCTGGAAGAGCGTCTTCGCCGTGGGTCTCCACGTACAGAAGATCAACGGCCTCTCGGACGAGGAGTCGAAGCACTTCCTCGACTGGTTCGTGCAGCTCATCATCGAGAACCACGACCTGCAGGTGCGACACCGCTGGCAGAACCCCAACGACGTCGCCATCTGGGACAACCGCTCGGCCTACCACGCCGCGACGCCGGATTACATCGTGGAAGGCCTCGGGGAGAGACAAGGGTCTCGTGCCGTGAGTCTCGGGGAGAGGCCATACTTTGACCCTCAGAGTCAAAGCAGACGGGAGGCCCTGCGGGCCGAAGCCATTGCTGCTTTGAAGGCGGATTACAGCTCATGAAGGTTGTTTCCGGAACCAAACGACTTGTTTCTCTGGATGGTCGTGCTCTTGAGCTTTGGTATGAGGAATAAGAGCACGATGGGCTCACTTTCCTATTCGGGGAGCAGTTTACCGTAGCAGTCAAAACAATGATTTTCCCCCAGAGAAGAGGAAGAAGCGGTTTCAGTCTGCCCTATCGTGATTCGGGAGTGACTCCCGACGATCTTTCAGCTGTGCCTGTATCAAGTAGACTTTATCCCCACTTAGGGGTTGAGGGTCAAGATCAGACGAGGTCGCCAGTACGAGACTTCTGATACTGGACCCTCCCATCGGTTCTCTTTAGAGTTCAGAGCCAATCTCAAGACCGTCGCATCTGCTGGTCAGACATGGCACGGGCGGCACACTCAGACCCTGAGAATGTCGGCCGGATGATCTTCCTGCTTCTCCATCTTCTTCTCTGCATAGAAGGACCTGTTTCCTGTCGACTAGTCAGTCGGGTAAGGTCCCGATGCATAGATACTGCTGACTGTCGCAGCCGTCCCCGTATTCTGCCCTCCGAGCTCGACTCGGCCGGCTGGCGGTGCATTGAATCATTTTGCCGTTCGGTAACGCGTAGATCATACACAGAGCTCGAGTCGGGTGGTTCAGACGGCGATCTAGGCCTTTTGCGACGTGGGCTTGACGCCAGACGCGCGCGTTTCAAAGGACCTCTGAGGATCTTTGGTAAACCGTCCGAGTCATCTCTACTCTATAGACAATCTTCTTTATCGTGAGATGGAAGATGTCGTTTTTGGCATTGACCCGGCGGCCATATCGAAGCTTTGAGGGGTACTATACGAGGTGGTATTGGCGCCTTGACGTGAGGTTTGGTTCTGCCCGGGTCTTTCTCGTTTTTACACCATTGTTGCATCAGAAGGGGTCAATGTTCCTGTTTAGTCGAAGCCAGCGCTTCTCAAAGTAGATCTGTTATTGCAATTGTCGCTGTGTCGTAGGAAGACGTGGGCCAGCAAAGGACGGTTCGATGCTTGGCCACTCCATCCATAAGATTTCGAGGATAGAACAGTGAGTGGCTGAATAGGGTTGTCTTCCCCTCCACAGCCACGGTTGCCGGGAGCGGCAGTATCCCTGTGACAGCAGCCAGCAGCACGTAAGCGGTTCATCAATCTCCTGCGGCTGGCGTGGGAGAGTCGGTTTGGGACAGACGAGCACCGATCCCCTGGTGGTCCCTCCGTGGGCCAGTCTTAGTCGGCAGAGCCGACATGGGTGAGGGTTGTGAGTCGTGACTTTCCACTAGGTTGGTAGTCTGACATTGTCAAAGTGTCCAACCGGGAACCAACGATGAGCGAGTTCTCCCGAGCAGAAAGCCGCGAGAGTTTTGGGGGAAATGTTCTAGACGCCTTGGATGGCACCATGTCCGGATGCCAACGCTGTACATTGGTCTACATGATGGAAAATTAAGCTCACAGAGACGCATCGATGAGACGGCGTTGGCTGTGCTGATGTCGCAATGGCAGGAATCAGCCAAGCGTAGCGGCAACTGTAAATCGTGCGGCTAGTACTCCGTCGATGTTCGTAGACTAGTAGACTATCGCAGTAAGCTATAGCCTATGAGGATGAGGCAGAATACGAGGCGGAAAGTTTCAGTGGGCAATCTTCATGTCGCTTGTGCCGTGACCTACTTTACTCGGGAGCTTATTGAGAAGTGGAAATGAGGACCGGAAGAGGAAAGGGTGAATAGATGAAAATTGAACAAGGCAAAGTGGGAAGAAATCAGGTTTTCAAGATTGGCAACCTCGAGTAAGTTGTAATGAAGCATCTGCTACGGATACTTCCAGTGATGGTATTCGTACTGCGATACGTACAGTGCTTACCAAATCACACGCTTCCTATGAAGCATTGCGTAGGAACCTGAGGTGAGGCCCAAGTCAGTGTTATTTTTGGGAGACGACGGGTCGCTGCATTCCTCCCGAACTGACCTGCAGACTGCAGACAGCCCAGCACAATGAGCCCACCCCGCCCGGAGCCTCGTCCGCGTCAGTCGCTTAGCTTCAGGGGCATCGCAGTCAGATACGTCCCGAGACAGCCCAAAGAAGAGGGGGGGAGACCCCTGGACGCACAGTGTCTCGCCTGCCGCTTGTCTTTTCTTTTGGTAAATTCAGCAATGTCTCACCTCTGGGCCTCTGGCTGGCAAGGTCCTCCCTCACTTCCACCTTGAACTCACTCACTCTTCAGGTCATTCTCACTCATGCATTCGTCACTCACTCGCTCAAAAGTCTAATGTATTTCAGGCCTGCCAGACGACCCGAGCGTACGAGTAGAGTCCAACAAGGCAAGCAGAGAAAGTCAACTGAACCGACGACTCTATATACCCTCCTCTTCGATCTGCCCCTATGTCGGACCCTGTGGATCGCAAGCCGGAGCTGAAACGCTCTCACCACGCAAGGCCGTTGTCACCCCTAGGCCTGCCCGCACCAAAAATGGTCCGAGACGGAGAGTCTCAGAGGTCGCTCCTGGCCGGCCGAGTAGTCTCATGCCTGCTCTTTGTCTTCTGCAGTTTGCTCGACTACCGTAACTCTGCTGATCTGGCTTTGGCTTCGACCCGAATGCCTGGGAAACTATCGTATCTGTCTCTCCTAGGATGGCCCTCGCGATAGACGACGACAAAGTTGTTGTCGTTGCCGCCCGTCTGACGCATCCAAACTCCATGTCCCGTCGGTGTGAATATCTCATCTGTCCGATCTAGCTAGTCCTCCATGATTCATCGGCGTTCCTCGAGCTTGTCCACGAGTGGGAATACAATGAGCGAAACAGTGGTGTCCGTACGATTACCTCGGCACATATAGCCGCCTAACGACTCGGCGACGCTCATAATCAGTCCTCCAATATTGAAAGGGTGAGAACATACTCCAGGCCTCCTCATCAGTCACCACTTCACTCAACGCACCAATCGCACGCATCAAGGCAGACCAGTCCAGACTGAAAGATCGACTGCCCTCATCACGGCCCGGACATGACACCACGACCACAAACATGTAACCAAACCGGCACCCATCATCACAAACCCCCTGCCAGAGTGGCCAGTGACCAGTCATCACACAAAATATTTCCGTACCCCGGTTGCTTCTCTCCACCGCCTGCAACCACTTCAGCCGCGGCCATATTGGTTCAAGGGCCGGCTATCCAAACTCCAACCAATGCTCTGGCCTGAGTGGCCTTTGCCCACCCCCGTCTCAGCGGGACACTCTCCCGAAAATCTGGGGCTGCCGGCAGCTTCCAAGGCCGCAGAGACCAGAATGCGGCCACCAACGGGGGGAGAGCTCTCACAGTGAGAGAGGGAGAGAGAAGAAAGGACATGGGTTCCTGCGTCTGTCGCCCGTCACAGATTCTAATCCACTTGTCACCCCTGGTTCATCAACCCCTGGGTCCTGGCCCGGTGCGCGGCCACATCGCGGCCACTTCTTGTCTTTCCCACACACTCTCTCGCCGGCCCCCTTCGCTCTCAGTCTGGCAGTCTGCCTCGTCCCCTTCATGGACCTGGTCGAGATCAACAGGGGTCGGTTGGCGTTGGTGGCCGGATGGCCCTGCCGGTATAAGGTCGAGTGACCCGCCATTTCGTCTCCCCCCTTGAGACATCTCGATCGCTTCCTTTGTCGTCTTTTGGATCTCGGAGCTTTTCATTTTGATATCGACATCAGCAATGACGAGCTAGATCTCGCATTGGTCGACGGGCTATCTCCAAGTGCGAGCCACCGGTGGCGTACGAATCGATATCACAGCAATAATCCAAACAAAAACTCATCTCGAAACACCGACGTCTCTCACTCTTTCTCAAGTCGTAAGAACGACTCATCAAATACCGCCTCAGAACCATCTTTCGCCAACTCGATCGACCATGTACTCATAAGCAAGTACATCTCACATCGAATCCAGCCTCTACGGCAAACGAACCCTCAAACACAACCATGCCGCCCCGGGCCTCTGGCACCGCTCCTTTCTTGGCCCTCCGCTCCGTTCACCTTGGTGCCTCTGCCTCCGCCCCAGCTGCAGCGGCAACAACAACCGCAGCAGCAAACACTACGATCCCGCCCTGGCTTGTCCTCCCGAGACCCGACCCGAACGAGTGGAATGGTGCCTCCGTCGTGCCCGTGGCCGTCCTCTCGGCCGTCGTGGCCACCGCCTTCGTCGCCATGCGCTTCTACACCCGCGCCAGGATCCTCCGCTCCGTCAAATGGGAAGACTGGACCATCCTCGCCTCCCTGATCTTTGCCATCGCCACCAGCGGAGGCATGATAACTCGTGAGTCAAAACCATCATCACGGAACTAGAACTCAAAGTCAACTAACAACCCCAGAACTCAACTTTGGCCTCGGCCAACACCTCTACTACTCCTACCCCTCCTTCGCCGCCTACATCGAAGCAGGCATCTTCACAAACCTCTTCTACTCCGTTAGCCTCACCCTGACAAAGATCTCCATCCTCCTCCTCTACATCCGCATCCTCACCTACGACTCCATCCGTCTCCTCGGCAAGATCCTCCTCGGCGTCGTCGTCCTCTCCCACGCCTGGATCATCGCCAGCATCCTCACCACATGCGTGCCCCTCCGCTCCGCCTGGGACTATGATCCCCTCAATCCGCCCGTCTACTGCCACCCCATCTCCGTCTTCTGGGGTAACGCATGCCTCCACCTCGCCACCGACTTTCTCATCTTCCTTCTGCCTCTGCCCGTCATCCACACCATGCGCCTCCCCCGCCGGCAGAAGACGGGTCTGTACATCATCTTCTGCCTCGCCTTCCTGTAAGTCCTCCTCTGTCTTCGAAGCATTCAAAAGACTAATAACACCTCCAGCGTCTGCGCAATCTCCATAGTCCGCCTCGTCCGCCTCTTCCACACAGACGAGACCCCCCTCCAAGTAATGGACGTAACCTGGTCCGCCGTCCGCATCGCCAACCTAACCTGCGTTGAAGTCCATGCCGCCATCGTAACAGCCTGCCTCACCACCCTCAAACCCTTACTATGCCGTCTCTTCCCCCGCTTCATGGCCTCCGCAACCGGCAACAACACAGCCGGCGGCGGCATCATGTACAGCTCCTACAGCTCCTACGCCGCCGCCGCAGCAGACGCCGCCCGCCGCGACGAGTGGGAAAAGAACTTCTCCCACGGCGACCCGGAAATGCACTACCAGCGTCCCCTGACCATCGGCACAAAATCGAACCGCCCGCGCGTGCAGAGGGATACCTTTGCCAGCTTGGACGATCTCAAGTTCTCACCTTACGAAGAGGCGGAGCACGACGAGCACGTCGACGTGTTGACGGCGATGAAGCCAGCCGCACCGGCAAGGAGCAGCCTGTGGGGCGGTAGTCGAGGCAGCCGTGACGAGTTCCGGCTGGCAGAAGTCGATGCCGGTGCGCCGTTGCGGTGGCCGTCCACGCTCGTGAGGAAGTCGAGGCTTCAGCCGCTGCAGGGCGCAAAGACGCGCGGGTCAATGCTGCGGTACGCTCAGAGCGTGCGGTCCATGCGCTTCAGCTCGGCTCCCATGCCTGAGAATCGGATTGAATGAATTACATGTATAACAGGAAATGGCAAGGCGTTCATATCGACAGGCGAAGACCTTGGGGGAGGCATTTTAGCAGCGAATCATTAACATTCGCAAGTCGCATAACCGACCAAGCAACAACAGAGAGCCACTGAGCTTTTTGACAGCACCAGCATCACATACTTCAAACGGCGTTGGAACGGCAAAAAACATGCGTGGGAGGGTATCATGTGTTGTATACCCATTCAGCGCAGGGCGCAGCTGTTCATAGTACTACGAATAATGACATTTTCCCAAAGCCATCAGTCCACTTCCTTATTTTGTGGCGCCTGCATTCGCCCGCGATCCTCTCCTGACAATCTAGATTTTCCACTTTGAGGGATGAGTTAGCAAATCGTGCATTAGTCTCACAAAGACGAACTGTATCTTGCTTACCTGCTTCTAAATCAAGCCCCCTTCCTCCACTGTCTCATTGGCATGACGACTTTCTCGCCTGCCTTGTTTAATCACCTATGCCATCCGCTGACACAGGATTCAAGCATATCTGGTTTCTTATCGACCACTTGCTTAAGAGATGAGATCGGCCACGTTCATAGGCATCTCATCAATCTGGGTAGAGTAGTACACTAAGAATCTCAATCAGTATCGCAGTAAGTCAACAGGCCAAGAGCAAACACTCACACTCGATATCCCGCAGAATGCGCACGTCTTCGCTAGTAACGAAGTTGATGGCAACACCCTTACGTCCGAAGCGACCACTACGACCGATACGGTGGATGTAGTTCTCACGGTTGCTCGGGAGGTCGTAGTTGATGACCAAACTGACCTGCTGCACGTCGATACCACGCGCCCACACATCGGTCGAGATGAGCACACGGCTGTTGCCCTGGCGGAAGTCCTGCATAATGCTGTCGCGTTCCTTTTGCGGCATGTCACCGTGCATACTGCTGACGGTGAAGTTGGCCTCGCGCATCTTGTCCGTCAACCAATCGACCTTTCTACGGGTGTTGCAGAAAATGACGGCCTGTGTAATGGTCAGGGTGTCGTAGAGATCGCACAGGGTATCAAACTTCCAGTCCTCCTTCTCGACGGCAATAAAGTACTGCTTCAATCCTTCGAGGGTCAACTCGTCACGCTTGACGAGGATACGAACGGGGTCGGTCATAAACTTGGTCGTCATGTCGAGGACATCGTACGGGAGGGTAGCGCTGACGACGACGACCTGTGTCGCGGGGGGCAGGTATCGGTAGACGTCGTAGATCTGCTCGCGGAAACCGCGGTTGAGGAGCTCGTCGGCCTCGTCGAGAACGAGCATCTTGATGTGGCGCGTACGCAGGTGACGGCGACGGATCATATCGGCGACACGGCCAGGGGTGCCGGAGACGATGTGCTGGCCGTAGTCGAGCTTGCGGATATCCTCGCCCACGTTAGTGCCGCCGATACAGGCGTGGCACTGGACGTTCATGTAGTCGCCGAGAGCCATGACGACGGACTGAATCTGGGTCGCGAGTTCGCGGGTCGGGGAGAGGACGAGGGCCTGGGTCTCGCGCACCGCCGTGTCGATAACCTGGAGCATGCTGATCGAGAAGGTCGCCGTCTTACCCGTACCGGACTGGGCCTGGGCGATGGTGTCGCGACCCTTGCAGACCTGGACAATAGCGCGGGACTGCACGGCCGAGGGCGATTCGTAGCCATAGGCGTAGATGCCACGGAGGAGGTTCTCTAGATGTGGGATGTCAGTATGCGCCGTATCAATGGCATTAAGTGTAGTAGTGATTAGTGCTGGACAGCCTTACCCTTCAGAGACATGGACTCAAAGGTCGGGTGGACCGTCACTTCCTTGGAGGTCGAAAACTCCATCCTCTCCTCCGCCTTACGGTCGATTCCGCTTCCTTCCGCCATGATGATGGTCTTGTTGGGTGGTTTGGCGAGTGATGGTGCCGCTTAGACGATTTGTCGCGATGGTGCGTGTGTTGGAGGATGGTTTGCAGGCGGACGGTGCAAGCAATGGAAGTAATGGAAATTTTAGAGGGGCGCGCTGAAGCTTCGACGGCGCAACTGCATGTCAGTAGCCGTAGCGCTGAAAGTCTGTCTTCCGTCCAGTGTCTTTCCAGTGGAGGTTCTAGAGCCGTCCGGGACGGAAGATCTTCGATGCCGGCATGGTGGAAATTTGGTTGTTTTGACACAGGGTGACTCTGGTTTCCACAGTGCTCTGAGCAGCTTGCAATGGCAAAAAACCCAAAGCTAACGCGACCTTATTCGGTGGACCACTCGCCAGCAAACGAACGTCCTGTCGAGAAAGGCTGCGACTTTGATTTTTCCTTCCAAAGCCTCGCCCCCTTCAGCCTCTGCCAGTCCCCCGAAACCGGCAGCCTATCCCAGCCCGCTCTCTACATAACCAAGCGCGCCCGACGGCGACGAACGACGACACAATGGGCGTAATCGAAGAGCAGCGCTACCTACACGAGGACCTCGAGCGCCTCGAGCAAGGCATCGCAGACCGCATCAGCGAAGAACCAAAACACATCCGCGACCGCCTGAACCGCGACCACGAAATCGGCCAGCTCCTCGACCAGATCCAGTCCCAGTCCGTCAAGCTCCTCGATATCTACCGCGACGCCGACGGCCAGCGCGGCCGCGAGATCCAGACCATCGGCACAGGCGACCCCTTTGAGGAGTTCTACAGCCAGCTCAAGACGGCGCGCGAGCACCATGCCAAATACCCAAACGAACAGGCCGAGAACTCGGAGGTGCGGTACCGCGTCAAGAAGCTCGACGACGGGGAAGTCATGCCTTACATTGTCGACCGTCTGTTCACGGGCGAGGAAGGCTTCGGCCGCTTCTTTGACCTGCACACCTCCCACGAGGCCTACCTCAACCTCCCCAACGTCAAGCGCCTGTCGTATTTGCAGTATCTCGAGGTCTTTGACAACTTCGCACCAGGCTACGGTGGCCTGAAGCGCGGCGAGAAGCTGACGGATCAGTACTTCAAGTACGTCGGCGAGCTGGCGTCGTACCTCGAGTCCTTTATGCGCCGCACGCGGCCGCTCGAGAACCTTGACAAGGTGTTCCTAGAGTTCGACGGCGACTTTGAGGCGGCGTGGGAGAAGGACGAGGTGTCGGGTTGGCAGAAGGAGACGAGCAGTGGCAGTGGTGGTGCGAACGGTACTGCAAAGGAGACCAGCTCAGCAGACGCCATATGGTGCGACGACTGCGAAAAAGAGTTCAAGAACGAAAACGTCTACAAAGCACATATGACGGGACGCAAGCACATCAAGGCCGCCGAGGCGAGGAAAGCACGCCGCGAGGAAGAAGGCGAGGAAGAAACTAGCGGCGGCAGCACAAACAAGGTATCAGCAACGAGGCTGAAGGAACGAGCCGTCGCAGAGCGTGAGTACCGCGTCAAACGCCTCGCGGCAGCAATGAGCACGGAACGCGGCGACACGCGCGTAAACGTCGAGCGCAGACAAGGCATGACGGAGCGCGAGCGCCAGCAGGAGCTGGAAAACATAATGAACCTGTCGTACTCGGCGCCCGGCAGCGGCATGGCACACCACAACGGCGGCGGCGCAGACGGCGAAGACGACGACGAAGACGGCGAGGACGGCGAGGAGAAGATTTACAACCCGCTCAAGCTGCCCCTCGCGTGGGACGGTAAGCCGATCCCCTTCTGGCTGTACCGTCTGCACGGTCTGGGCGTCGAGTTCCCCTGCGAGATTTGCGGTAACTTTGTCTACATGGGTCGGCGGGCGTTCGATAAGCATTTCAACGAGGCGAGGCACGTTCACGGGTTGCGGTGTCTCGGTATTACGAATACCAGTCTGTTCCGCGATATTACGAGCATCGAGGAGGCGGTGAATCTGTGGGACAAGATCCAGCGGGAAGCGAAGAAGACCAAGGTCGATGAGGGGAGCGTGGTGCAGATGGAGGATGCGGAGGGGAATGTTATGCCTGAAAAGGTGTACTACGATTTGCAGAAGCAGGGTCTTTTGTAAATGGAGTGATACTACCTTTCTCAGAGTAATCAGGGAAAAGGGGGAAGATGGGGGGCGTGGTGTACAAGTATTCCAAAGGCGACGGGGAGACACGACGATCGTAGACTCGCTATGGAGATTGTAAAAATGTAGATATCAACAGCACTTACTCTGCGGGTGCATTAAATGTCAGGGGTAGCCAAAATTACGGCGATTACGATCATAGAATGATATCTTTGAGGGCCTCTGAGCATCGGTATTTGAAGGCGACGTGATCCTTTGTTTGGCAAAATCCTAGAGGCAGAAAAGGCAGAAACGTTGGTTCCTTGTCCAACATCGGCGAGGCCGGAAACTTGCTAGCAAATGGATGAGTTTGTTCATCGACTTGGAACATGCATAATGTGCCTCTTCAGGTATAATCGAGATCTCAAGCCAGAGACTATAGATGCTACACACATAGCAGATGATTTGTCCTCCTCAGTTCCCCATCTCGGATCTAAGGACTAGCCAAAACACGAGCAGGCCTGAAACAGAATTAGTCACTTAGGAGACGATGAAGACGGAAGATTTGTACGACTGTTTCAACATGAGCCATCTTTTGGAGGCTACAATATATGGGTAGTTGTCTATGTGGTGTTCCCCATTCTAAGGGATCTATCTCTTTGTACAGTACCGCCTGGGTGGTTCTTTTTCTCGCTCAAAAACATTCACTTTCCCCTAGTTGCCCCTGTGTACTTTTTTGTCTTCCCTTTGCGATCTTTCCCTGTTGACCGTTTGACCCAAATCCCCAAGTAATTCCGTTTGGGCTATTCCAAATGTCGCTGCTGAAAATGACAAAAACCCGCCTGTAGGTAGTATCCTGGTGGCCCAAAAACACAAAGGAAATGGAGCTCATTGGCTGCCGCCGTCGCTTTTCATCCACATTAAGTTCTGTCCTGTAGTTCGTCCCCTGGTGTGTATATTGCTGGTGTCCGTTTGCCGGAACACAAAAAACAAAATTGCTGTTCATCCATGGCTGGATATCTTTCATTCATCTCCAAAATCGTGAACGAATCTCGATGGTCTTTAATCTAGTCCTCGAAAAGACCAGACATCTCCTCAAGAAGCTGGTCAGCGGTAGGGCGCTCAGCGGCGTCCATGCGCATGATGCGGTTGATGAAGTGAGAGGCTGTGCGGAAGTCGAGAGGCTCAACCTTGCGGCCGACAGTCAGTGCCTTGGCGGCCATGGCCTTGCCGGGGCGCGCCCGCTCAAGGTAGGTCTCGGGGATGGCACCAAAGCGTCGAGACTGCTGGCGAAGGACCTCAAAGATGTAGCTGCGGTCGTGGTAGCGAGCGTTGGTAGGGCGGAAGGGGTTGTAGTCGCCGCCGTGGAGAAGGGCGATCATCATGGAGCCAAAGGCCCAGATATCGCTGGCAGTTCCCCAGGGAACCTCCATGAGCACCTCAGGACTGGTCCAGATGGGAGCACCGATGAGGAAACCTTTGGTAGCGACGTCAGAGTCAACCGAATAGGAAGCCCCGAGGTCACCGATCTGAACATCGGAAAAGCGAAGGTCGGGGTCAGCCTCAGAGGCCGAAGCATAGTTGACGAGGATGTTGTCGGGCTTGATATCGGTGTGGACGTAGCCATCCTTGTGGAGGGTGGAGAGGCCACGGAGAACAGCGCGAGCAACGAAGCGAATCTCGCGGTTGGTCAAAGGCTTCTTGATTGTTGCGTTCAAGAGGTGATCGTCCATATGCTGGAGCACAATCATCGGGGCATCTTGCTGGATCTCGTCGATGACGGGGCGGAGGAAAGGGTTGCCCTGAAATTTGCGAAGGACGTTGTGCTCGTTCTGGGCTCCGGAGATACCCTGAACGCCCTTGACGATGGACTTGTTACCCATAGGGTTGCTGGAAATGATATTAGTGCTTTGCCCCTTTGGAAACTGTGCTTGTGATGTGCTTACGTTGCGATCCAAACGCCCTCACGGATCTTCTTCTGAATGGTGTATCGGCTAGCATTGCCGAGCAGGATCTGGCCGATCTCGAGGGACGGAGTCCCAAAGGCGGAAGTGAGACCTCGGGGGATCATGTTGTTGATGTGTGTGTTGGTTGAGAGAATGGATCTCTATCCAAGAAAAGGCTGCGGTAAGATAGTCTTCGGCGGTTTCGCGTCGTCGAAGTTCACTTCTTTATGTGACAGCTTGCAGAGGCTGTCGAAGAAGAAACTGGTCGATAATGGTCATTAGGTGATATATGCCCGATCGAAGTTTGTGGAGAAAGCGTCTAGCACGAGATTCCAGTCATCAGGGTGGAATCTTGTCTAGACAAAAGCCGGTTGAAAGTGTCTAAGATGGGCGCAATCGATGGTCTCGAATCGATGTCGAAGAGGGGAAGACGCAGATACGTAGGTTGAGTTGGTTGTCGGAGTGAGAGTGATAGAATGGAAGCAAGTTGAGTCGGAGGAGCAACGCTTCTTTAACGGGCGGTCGGGTACTTTCAGGCGGTACCTGTGGAAAAAAGCTAAGACAACCACCTCAAGGGCAGGCCGCAGACCGCAGGGCAGGGAGTGGCATGGCGTGGGAGAAGGGGGTGGTGTGTGATGGAAGTGGTGGGGGTGTGATATGCAGACAGGGGTGTGGAGGGGTCCGGATCTTCCCACACACCCCAAGAGGCAAGCTTATTAGCGTAAGGTAGCTACGGAGTACGGATATCTGGCAGGCACTTTTTATCTCCGACTCCCACACTGGTGACTGTAGTCTGTCACTGTCCAGTGTCACACACTGTTTTTCTCTTTCCCTTTCGTCTTTCTCGGTGTGTGGCACACTGATCACTCAAGTCCCTCCAGCGCGTCTCTCTCTCTCATTCTCTCAGACCGTCCACACCGTCCCAGTGACTGGAAGGGAAGGAAGGACGAAAGAGTCCAGACTTCTGATTGCAGCGGGACGCGCGAGCCGGACTTGGCAGCGACCGGCAGGGGTGGCGAGGTACGTACTGATATTCGTGTACACTACTCCGTATTTCGAACACAGTATTTTGAGTAATAGCCGTACTTTATTAGATCGTTTCTCAGATGGTGTTTGACAAGACGAGACGAGGGGGAGACACGCACGAAATAGAAAAGATACGTCTCTCTACTACCTATCTATGGATAGAGCCCTGACTTCTCTCGCTCAGGTCAAGTCGCACACAGACAGACGGACAGGTGAAGGTGCCGGCTGGGCATCGAGGGCTGGAAATAGGACTTTAGCAGCTGCCGCCATCTCACCACCCTCACCATACTTCTTCACTCACTATTCAGTAACAAAGCTAGCTATGCGTGCCACGGGTCGAGCGCGACGGCGGTGAGGCAAATGAGTTCGCTCCAATTCTTCCTAGTTTCAACTTCCAGTGAGCCGGGGGGTTACAGTCACCCGGGTCCAGAATAATCACGGCACCTCCACCCACCATTATGGAAGGGGAAAAAAAAGATTTTTCTTAGTGCGACGGCACACTCACCTTATCCGCATACCGCCCTGCTTCATCCACCCCCACGGGTCGTCCTTCTCCTAGGGTTAACGTTCATGATGGAGGAGGGGCGGGGCCGGACTGTATGCTGAATGCTGATGGAGGGTGGCCTATCGGTCTGTCGGTCTATCGCCATAGAACGTGCAGCGGCCGTGGACTGTAGATTGCGGTCTAGATCACTCCTGGTGCTCACGTCGTCCCTCGCGGCGCGTCGACAGCTTCGAGACAGAAAAGAACCCATCGACATAGACCAACAGAGAGGGTAACCCAGGAGGGAAGGTCATCTGCGTGCGTCTGCTGGCAGCAGATCCAGGACAGGGAATCTTGGCGTCTCGAACAGCGACAGTGACAGACAGTCCTTCTCCAGCGAGATCCAGGTGCTCCATGATTGACCTTGGAACCCTTTGCCTTGGGATCGGCAAGGATGGGCCGTATTTGGAGATGCTCCCAGAATCCCATTATAGGGGTCCCCTCCTCCGGCCCAGGTACGCGCCCACACCCCTCTAGATCGCGAGTGCTAACTGGCCCTACTGGCTTTCTTTGCAATCCACGAGGACACCCTCAGTGACCATCAGTGTGTCCAGGTGGTAGATTGGTTGGCTGGCATGCCGCTGTCACCGAAGGACCGGATACTTGTGTCTGCATCCGTTACCTGCCCAGGTGGCCTGGTAGTATTCCGGCATGACCAGACGTCTTCGGCGCATACGGAGCTTTGAGCGCACCTGGTCGCTGTTGTCACGCAACTGCAGATAATTGCCCGGTTCGAGAGGTGGTGTGCTTCCTTTGGTGTTTCCTTTGCTGCCGCGCCGTCTCTGAATCAATCGGGTTCGGCAATCAACTGCCATAGTGGTGTGCGATGCTGCTGCAAACCGACTGCAGGCTGACTGCCTTACGGTGAGAATAGGTGGGTGATCTGAGATGTCAGTGGGTGGTGGGTGACTGATTAACTTCCAAAGTTAGAGATGAGGTGTGGGTAGCAAGCCGCCGCAGCCCGTATTCCACTACCCAAGCCATCCACAACGCCTTCAACGCCGTGGTCGGCAGGCCCCAAGCCGTAAAGCCGCAAGCGTTGAGCCAGTCAGTTGAGGAAGCTATTGGCTTTCTGGCTATACAGTCGATGGCCTTTTGCCAGGGAAACAAGCTGAGAAGTGTGTTGGTGGCTGTTTGTTCGGCTCTCATAGCTTCGCAGCAGTGAGCCAGCCTTCTGGCTTGGATGTTCCATTGCTTGGCTGCAGGTGGTGTACCTATGCAGTCTACACTCGCGCATACATTCCACCTCACACATGGTACCTGCTCGCGCAGCAGCACAAGGTTGAAGGGGGGGCTTTGTCGTGTCTCGGAAATTCGGTCAAGATTGTCGAGGGCACAGTCGAAAACGTGGGGTGAGAGGATTCCATTGGTGAGCCAGCCGTGCCAGCGTACTGTGTAACTATGTGTTACTGCTGCTCGCTCACGAGTCGGAAACAGGCGAACGTGGCAGACCTCATCGGATCAGCGAGAGCTAAGGGACCAGCGTCAATCCACGCGTGCCACGGGCATTGTGTGCCAATGGAAGACGCCAATTAACGGGCATTCTGTGGGTTTGTGACGGCGGATGCGGATTGAGCGGCGAATATGTCTCCAGACGTAGGGCGGGAGGCGAACTGATGTGCGCTGGGAACGACTGAAACTGGATACTCCGTACATACTTTCGTACAGCTCTAGCCCACAGCTCCAGTCCGTGTCTCTCGAAGCCTCCATCGGTGCGTCCGGTCACATCATTCTCTGGGCCTTTTGGTCATTTTAGGAGGGGAATCTTGGCTCGGGCATCTGGGGTGCGTTGCTCCTTGGCCTCTAGAGCTGCACAACTGCAGCCGACAGTCGCAGGTCGGTCAATCAATTGCTCGATTTCTGTCCTGTCGCACAGGCAGTGGCACTGCACTGACGCAACTCTTCGTATGACCGAGTGCCGTGCTTGGTACTAATTGGCACAGCCATGGAGGTTCTGATGAATACGTGAAATACGCAGTGTGCGTATGTGGCTCGGTAATCAGCGTAGGATGCGTAACTCTTCGTAATGGCAGGTGATATATGCTCTTGTCAGCATCAGTGAGGCTCTGTGCCCTCGATCCGTCTCGATTCCCATTTCATTCGAACACCTTGGCAATCTGGGTGAAGCATTTGGTCTTTCGAGTGACACCTGCTAGCTAGGCGTGCGGCGTGCCAGGGCAGATGTTTGGTGGTTCTGTGAGTAATAACAAGTGAATGGCGGTATGAAAGGGTTTGCTCGTCTTGAAACCGGCATCGTCAGGCACGCATCCGCTTGGAAGAGTTCTGAGTGCATGCAGGTGGTTAATTAGACGGAAGCTTGGAAGTTGGAGCTCCACGATTGCGGTTGCGGAGTGCAGCGTTTGGTTACGCGGTCGGTGTTGGTGTGTCGTGACCCCAAGCTGACGGGAAGCTGGGGAAGCTATCCGTACGGCGTAAGGTACCTTCGTGGAGAGCAGAACTTCACGCCCCGAGCTACAGCTGACGAGGGTGGCATTTTTTATTTTATTTTTTGCACATCACGGGACGAAGTGTTGCGACATGGGAATCTATAATTGAAAAAACATGGGGGAATGTTGGGGGTGGGGGGTCCGATGGCCGGGGGGAAGACGAGGGACGAAGCCGGGCGACGATGCTCAGCTGGGGGGAAAGGAGGCACGAACGGTACGAGGCAGGAGGTACCTACCTTTGGAGGCAGGAGAGCAGGAGGCATCGTCAGGGACAGCAGGAGTGGCAGGCACTGAGCCTCTGAGGCAGGAGCAAAAAGTGCGAAAAAGTGCAGGTGCAAGTGCAACCGCCAACCGGAAGGAACGACGAGGCGGAAGACTTGGGGTCAGCTTCCCCGGTGTCTTACCCCCCCCCCCCTGCTCCCGTCCTCGGCTGGCCCTCCACGCCTTCCCAAGCCTCCCATCCTGGCATCCCCTGACGAAGAAAAATATCAGTGGTGTATGTAAGAAAGAAAAAACAAGGTGAAGAAGGTGAGGTGAGGCCCGTGGCACACTGACAACAGGTGTGCAGGTGAGCAGCCACAGCCTTGTTCCCCGTGTCCCAAACAGGATTAGTCTCTCCTCAACTCCCGACCGAACATTTCTATTTTCAATGCAGCCGTCCAGCCCGTCAGCTATCCAATTTGGACTCAGATTTGATCCAGATTTCCAAAGTGAATCAATATGAATCCCAATTATTACATGTTCTAACTTACTACCTACTTCGTACCTTACCGAGGACCGCGTAGGTGGCCCCCCTTTTTTGACATTTTTCCCTTGCAAATTGCTTGTTTCCTCCCCCCTTCCCCCCCCGTGAGTCGTGACAACAACAACACCCCCCAATCCTTATCCCGTCCCGTCCATCTCGGTTCCTTTTCCATCTTTGACTCACCTTCATCTCTCACTCCCTTCTCTATTCCCTGCACCTGGTGCTACGGTGCTTTCACTGAATCATTGCATCAAACCTGTGGCTACTGATGCTTCTGCTGTACGCCCATCACCCACGTCAATCCGTCTCACCGTGACATGCGTTGCATTCTTACCCCGACCTGGTGCTCTCACCTGACCATTTCCAATTTGTCGGTCCCTTGCCGAATGTCACCCTGACGCCAAAAAAATTCCGTCTCCCCCCAAATTTGGGATTCAATTTATTCAAACTCCGCGACCATCCCACGCTCCCACTACCACGCTCCCACGCCCTTTCATGCAGCACCCTCTCAAGGCACATCCAACACCGTACACCGACCGTACACCGTGCAGCTACCCGAGTCTCCGACCCCTTGGCCGACATCGCTGTTGACGGTTAGCCTCCAAGGAACCAGCCAACCTTGAATCCGAATCCAGACGGGAACCTGGAACCCAACTCGCCTCGCCTCGCACACCGCTCTCTCACCTTGCCGCCGTCCGGTACCATCGCCACGCGCGTATTGCCAGTAGCACCCCGAACCACCACAACTGGCACCAAGTTCACCAACAATACCACAGGTGTCCAAGCAAGTCCCAAGCCTAGCCTAGCCTGGCCTGTCACCCATACTCTCCTCTCCCTCCGGTGTTCGCCCTATGGTCCTGCACCCATCTGGGCAAACTCAGGTACAGATTCAACCTCGACCGCTCCGACACACGCCCAAAACCGAGTCCACGTATGCGCCCACAGGCGAAGACGAGTCTAGACTACCTTATCCGACAAGCACAAGCGCTCAGCACTGAGACCTGAGCCTGCACAGCTTCTCCATCCCAAAACACGTCGCACAACAACATGTCCTGACTTCGTCTACCCTCCCCTGCCGAGTCATGCCCGTCCAGTCCAAGCCCATCCCCGCCCTCTACACGGTGTACATACTCCGTTCCACCGTACGCCACGCGTCTCTCTACATCGGCTCGACGCCCAACCCTCCGCGCCGTCTAAAGCAGCACAATGGCGAGGCCCGCGGCGGCGCTGCTCGCACCTCCCGTCTGAGCCTGCGGCCCTGGGAGATGGTGGGGCTGGTTTCCGGCTTCCCGGGCATGGTTGCTGCTCTAAAGTTTGAGTATGATCTCCGACCCCTTCGTCCCGTCCACGATTCACCTTGACCTTAAGGCTGTTTCCCTCTAATCATGCTTCCAAGCATACTCTCAAGCTGCTTCGGATGCCGTTTCCCCGCTCCTCCTCCACCCCTCTAGCTTGCACATGCTTCTCCTGCATGTCTAGGTCTTGCAGGTTGCACTATTTTGATTGATTCGATTTGATTTCTCATTCTGGGTCAATATCAACTTCTCAACCATGCGCTGACTAAAGGATAACAGATGGGCGTTGACAAACCCGCATCTTTCTCTGCATATACCCTCTACGTCCCGGATCACCGTCTCGAACGGAGTTAAGAAGAACGGACGCCCCCGCCGGCCTCGTGCGAGCCTCTCCTCGATCTTGTCCAACCTACAGCTCCTGCTAGGAGTACCAAGCTTTCGTCGGTGGCCGCTTACACTACATTTCTTTGCAAAGGATGTACACAAAGCATGGGTTTCCTCCTCTGCCAACTCAACCGAGCCTCTGCGAAACACCCTCAACATAGTCACCGACTTCGGCCCCGACCCCGCTGCATCTTCAGACGGCGTCGCTTGGGGCATCCATGCTTTACCTGTGGACTACACAAACATGAAGGCCTATGTTGAAAAAGCACAGTCCATCAAAGACTTTGAAAGAGAAGGCAACTGTGTCGTCTGCAAAGAAACACTCCCTCACGGTCAGGGATTACACGCTGTATGTCCAAACGAGTCTTGTGAGGGTGTTGGGCATCTTGCATGCTGGAGTCGTCATATGCTCCACAACGAAGAGGATCGAGGAGTCGTAGTTCCTATTCAGGGCTATTGTCCACAATGTGAGGGCCAGATTCAGTGGGTTGATATGATGAAAGAATTGTCACTACGGGAAAGGGGTGCGAAAGAAATCGAGGCTCTTCTGAAAGTGAAGAAGAGGCGAACGAAGACTTGATAAATCCACGTGGGTCCCTCTGTCAAACACGGATCTGCAGGATCCATCTGCGAGATAACATCTTTTCGGCCCGCAAAGCCTGTTTCTCCCAATAACCACGAGTCAGATTGGCCCTTACGAATCGGACGGACAGTGACGAGTTTTCGCATTGTCGTCATAGCAGTTAGCAGTGGAGTTCAACCTTGCGGCACAATCGAGTTGTTCTCACAGCTCGGCTGCTCTCGATTGGAAGCATCGAGAGATGTCCTTGGGGGCATTCGAGTCACCCAGAAGCGACTTCTACTCAAATCTGCAGGCTCAGCTTAGCAAGCTCAATTGAAAGCTTGGAGGGTACTTGTGTACCCCCACAGGCCTATCTCGACTACTACCGCATTCACTTCGTTCTAGCTGAAATTCATGGTCGAGAAACCAATTGGACAGTGCTGGAACGCAACGTTGAAGTTGGTCGAGAGCAGTCGACCATCCAGATTACGCCAACCGCGATGCACAAGGCCACATGCAAACGACTTTGGGCTGTGCATGAACGCGGACTTTGGCTCAAGAAAAGGTCAGACACTGAGCTGACGCGAAGCTGGTAACGGTCTGGGGATCTGCGACACCGGTAGACTCTGGCGCCACCGTCTAAGACAGCGACGAGCTCCCGAGAGCTGCAGCTGCAAACGCGAAGAACAAAGGGGCCGGCTAGTTCAGGGTTCTTTGCATGGCATGGCCTAGATTGCCGATCAGGCCCGAGAGCAACCACGCCGAGGCCCCAGTAGCTTAGTTGAGTTGTTAGACTCGGCTTTGACGAAATGGAAACTATATGTACGATGAATTTGAAAAATATATATTTCATCAATGAGCGACTTTGCAATACCGTATGAGATCGGTATGATCTACAAGTAGCTTACTCGACGCGTAGCAAGGTTGTCCCTCAACATGATTATTTGTAGCACCACATCAGTTTTGAACCGCCATGAGAGGTCGAATATCGAGAGCCAATAGTCCTGTCCATTGTCAGTCTTGTCAATGCAACCAGATATCTCTGTCATCTCCATAGACTTTGAAGATACCGGGACTACGATGCACCGATGCACTTTTACAAAGTGGGAGGTTTGGGAACCATAGGAGTACAGTAGGACTCGTGCTCCTTCCAGCAGCACCCACGTCCTATCTTGAAAGCTTCCTAATCGATCTCGTAGCGGATTGACGGTGTTAAGCTCTTGGCGGATGGTCCACGTGCAGAACTCAAGAGGGTATTGTTGATACTCTGTTTCTCTGCCTACCTGATATTGTGTCCCACGACAGTCAAATAGCCTGTCATAAAGCTGTAAGGCATGACGTATACTGACCGGTGGAGGGAGAGATAGAGAAATCGAAAATCTAGATTCGACGATTAGTCGATGCCTAGGAAATTTCACAATAAATGGTTGCTCCGTGAGGACCTGGGCATCGCTCTGGTGATCGTGTCATCGAGCTGAATTGCGAAATCACCCCCTCCACATAGAAAGATAAGCACAAGAGAGCCGGTGGTGGCAACAAACACCATAAACCCGACCCCTTGATCCTTCTGAAAGCCAAGCGGACGGTCACTGTTGAATTTAGAACATGGGGTTGGAGGTGTGTTGAGAGAGGCCGTTGGCTTTGTCATGCCCGTCCCACCATCGTAGACATACACGGAGTGAGATATAGCCAGATTCCTGAGCGGAGTATGAGTGAGTTGATATAACCTCGTGAACTTACTCCTCTGATCTGGTCTTCGCAGAACCTACGCAGGCATCACTCCAGGAAAAGATGATTGACTAGACGGTAACCGTGAAGCCGGGTTCTGAGGTGCATCTCGCCTAGATCTCAATCTGGTCGTGTAGCCATCACCCCATCCACTATTTCATTGAGCATTGTGAGAAGGCCAAGGAGAAACAGCAATTTCGGCGATACGGCTTCCCTCGTCATATCCCTCTCTCCCACATGTGACCTCCCTTCAGTGATACTCCTGGGTGCTCTCTGCTTCAATCTTGCCTTAAAAAGCATCTCTCAGGGGAACAGATTCGTGAGTCATCAAATTGAAGTTCAAGGTAAATCAACTGCACAAGACATACGGGACAGCTCTCTCAGTCATCACATGAGTTTGAGGTCGTTGATTTTAGTAGGTAGCACATGCGGGATTCGTCCAGTATGGATATCACCCGACAAGTTTCTCGCGTTGCCGTGTACGACTTATTCAGGCTAGTCCAACGATGTCAGTCAACTCGTTCTTTCTGATAAGAGAAACGGCATGTATCGGGCCTCTTGGTGTCTGTGATCGGTTGAGGCAGAGCCTTCATTGGCACAATGGCTCTCGTTATCAGGTCCTTTGTAATATGTTAGTAATCTTGAACGTAAAGCGGCATCCGACTTATCTCACAGGCAACGATTGCCCATAGACATATTTAGGTCCCTCCTTATTTGCAATCTTAATCGAGACAAGAAAGTCTGGTACATGGCCAATGTTGACTACAAGGTGCCCATGGGCTGCAGTACGTTACTGTTAGCTTCTCGATCCATTGTAACCAATCAACTTTGGTCCGAAAGTGCCTGGCATATCTTCAAATCCTCCTCCCGGCTTCGTTTTGACGATGGGGCTTTGCAGTTGACATGTCACAAATATCTCAATGTGCAGCCTTTGTCTGTGATTTATAGAAGATACATCCTATCGCAAGGAAACTTGGGGCCTCTTTCAGTATCTCCAAGTATCAAATCGAGGTATCGGGGCACGCAAAAGCCCCTGTGAGCCTCATCTCATCGAGCAAGCTTGAGGACAGCACGTGGGTTTTACGTCAATTCGTCTCAAACCTGGAGAACAGCCTGAGTACATCACAACTTTAGGTGGCCACAAAAGTGAAGCAGAATCAGTGTTGTATTGTGTGAGTATCTCGTAGCTCTCGGTTCATGACTTCATGACAAGAAAGAGTAATTGGGTAGACTTCCGGAGCAAATGAGAGCGCTTTTTGATGATGTCCGAACGATTCCCGAATATTTCCAGAATTAGTCACTCTCCGAGTTCCCTGCATGCTTGTATGATTGACCAGGTGCAACTAGAGGCTCCAATGGATGTCAAATCTACTGCGAACCTTTTTTTTACAATCTTGCCTCGGTGTCTATCCCCGTTGCCTCGTTATGTTTGGAAATTTTGCGTGTACTTCCGAATGGGTACCTTTTGAGTCGGAAAGATCACCAGTATGCGAACCGCCAGAACAAAAGAAGCACGGCTATCGGCTGATATCGCTTAGATATCAAGACAATAGAATTAAGTCGAGCGTGTAAAAAGAAGAATCCGACATATTACGGAAGCAACTGTTAACGTCAAAGCTTGGCCTCAAGTAGGAAGCCTATGTCCCCGGAAATTATTTTCAATCAAGATTAACCCTTCTCGCACGATTTCTTTATAAATCGAAGAAGCTGCCCACCTTGTTCTTCCCGTACTGAGGAGTCGAGGTTCGCTGGGCCACTAATGTTCGTCAAGGTTCCTGCTTGCCTCTTCGCTCAGAAGTAAACTGTACGTGGATGAAGTAGTGCCTTCATACACGTGTGAATTTTGAACTCCGGGTAACTAGCAAGAAATATGAAGTCTTTGAGAATTTCAGCTTGACACCATGAATATATCAGTTGTTGTGATATATAATCGTGATGTCCAAAGTTGAATGATGACTAAGCCGTCATGGTCGTCAAAATCGTGCAGGTCATCTGAGGAAAGAAAGGACAAAGGAGAAAGAAAAACCATCAGAAAATGCTAAAACTGAGTCGCCCGTCCGGCGCCCGCCCCCGCAAGCAGGGATAATGCTCGCCCTTGGACCGATCTGGGACGTTAGGGTGGGTTTCTTCAACGTCATACTGTCATGATTGGTTCGCTAAGCGATTGATATTGGTGGCCCCCTGTTGAGTCAGCGAGCGATATCAGATGTTGGTTTCTTGTGCATGGGAAAAGAGTGGGCGCGCAGCAAAGTCTCGTGGTCCGTGGTACTGTATCCTTAGCCCAGGCACCACTACCCAGGGCATCCATCCTGGCAGGGCAGAGTTTAGGCGTTTAGGCGCAACACTGAGATGCAGTAGTGATATTGTCGCAAGCCGGACAATCAAAGACGACCGGGTGCAGTTTATGTTAGATAAATATCTTCCGAAGAATCCTCAGCTGAGTGCTGTAAGATGCAGCCTCGAAATGCCATCTGAAGCAGACAAGGCGCAGATGCCGAATTGACAGCCAACGTCTTGCACCTCGGGCCTGAACGATGGTGGCCAATCATCGGAGACATGTCGGATGGCGATTGAGGGATGGCCCTGGTGCAACTGTTCGGTCGATGATCGAGAGTAATTCCAACCATGGGCGACGCGGATTTTTTGTGGCCGTGCACTGCAAACCAAACGATTCATGGGTCGGCATTTGTGACGTCGTCGGGGGCCGCTGCGATTTAATTATGTGCGAGCGCGCGGGCAAGTGTGTGTGTGTGTGTGTGTCTGATGTCGCATGTCGACCGACTTGGATGTCAGCGATTGGGGGCCATGTACCGGAGTACCTCAGCATGGTCGGACCAAAATGTACCTCGGACTAAACACCGTAAAATGACTCCAGGGCAGGTTGACTCTCATCAAAGGGAAGCAGGAGGCTGTGCCTGGGGGACACTAGGTAGAGAGCATCGCTCCCTTTGATGCAAAGCCGTGTTGAAGGATAGCTACTAATGCCAGCCGAACACCCAAGTGAACAGATCCGTTTGGTTTGATCTGGGTTGACCATTGCAAGCATGGTCCTGGGAGGTCATTCGAGGGGTCGTCAGGAACAGATGATGATATCGGTAGACAGTCTTCCATGGTTGAGTTGCTTGTCAGCTGAGGCTTCTAATGTGCCTTATAATGAGGCAGGGAGAGCGACTCCGTGGACGTCATGGACGAGGTACCCGAGAAAGTACCATGTACTTGTAGAGCGTGGCCGACGTCCAGTTCGGACCCACTTGTAGTGGGATTTTGCACCGACAGACGTGAGCTGTCCC